GTTTGAATCTCTATCCCTTCCTCTATCCCAATGACTCTTAAATTTTGTTTTTTTATGTTATCACATATCTCTTGGATGTTTCTCTCGTGATTTTTAACCAGCCTATCTGAGTTGGCTAGACTCTTCAAGATGATATATTTTGTCTTCATTATCTGACGTTCTGGTTTCTACTTGCTCCACTCTATTAGTGATACTCTCATTTGAGTTTTTAATTTGATTTATAATTTCCTTCATTTCTAAGATTATTATTTGATTCTTTTTTATAATCTCTATCTCCTGATAAAGATGCTTAACAACTTCTTTTATCTGTTTATGTAATTCATTCTCAATGTGTTCTTTCGCTGCTTGAATTTGCTGTCTTGTATTCTCTTTAAGGCTCCATTCCATCTGTCTAAGGTATTCCTTGAGTTCTTTATATGACCATTTTTCTGATAACTCTATATCCTCCTGAATATTTAGGCTGTCCTGCATTGTTTGTATTCCTTTTCTTTCTTGCTTTTTCATACTGCTCATGTTGCTTCTTGTTCTGTTTGACTGCTGAGTTACTGTTTACTCCTATAAATTTATTTGATGCTTGGGAGGAAAGGTATTAGCAGGGAAAGGAAGAAGTCACCAAAGAGAATGAGAGTAGGCAGGTAGAATTTAATTCCCAGCAGGTCTCTTTTCAGTGGAATTTTCTCAGCAGGTCGCATGTAGGTGTATTAATGGGTCTCTCTGATCCCATTACTGTAGAGGCATTGAAAGTGCTGCCTCCTCGCCAGCTGCCATGTTGGGTCTATCTCTAAACATACATTTCTCTCCAGGACACAGGAAAACCCCAGTTAGTATGTTGAGTCAGTGACCTTTTCTTTGTAGCAATCTCATTCTTAAGTCAGGTCAAGGATGTGAGCCGAACTTTTTCATCTTGTATGATTAAAACTTTAGATCTAATGATCAATAACTGACCACTGTCCCCCCACCCAGGCCCTGGCAGCCACCATTCAACTCTATGCTTTAATGAGTTTGACTCCTTTGACACTTCATGGGAGTAGAATCATGCAGTGTTTGTTCTTCTGTGATTAGCTTATTGCACCCACAATAATGCTCTCATGGTTCATCCATATTAAAGTACATGAAGTAATTCTTTTTTATGAAAGGAAATTATCTATTATTATCTCTATATTGTAGATTCATATTATCTATATATGTCATAGATAAATCAAGATAGATAAATATATAAAATAGATAGGTCTTTATATTTATAGCATTTTTTTAATGGTTAACCATCAGTGGATGACCAGGTTGTTTTTACGTCTTGTCTATCATGAAGAATGGTGCAAGGAATGCGGTGGTGCACATATCTCTTGCAGATCATGATTCCAATTCTTTCGTACAGATGAGCCAGAAGTCTGATTGCTGGATCATTCAGTGGTGCTATTTTTAGTTTTTTGAGGAACATACTATTCTCCATAGTGGCTACATCATTTTATATCCCCACCTACACTGCACAAGGTTTCAAATTCTATACATCCTTGCCCACACTTATTTCCTGTTTACTTTGTTGTTGTTGTTGTTTTTATAACGCCATCTCAACAGGCATAAAGTGACATCTTGTTGTGATTTGGATTTGCATTTCCATGATGATTAGTGATGATGAGCATCTTTGCATATTCCTCTTGGCCATTTGTAGGTCTTCTAATGGAGAAATATCTATGTAAGTTTTTGCCCACTTTAAAAATTAGGCATAGTTTTGTTTAGCTGTTGAGTTGTTGGGTTTTTGGTTGGCAAATATTTTCTCCCATTTTATAGGCTTGTACTTTTATTACATTGTTTGTTATGCCAAAGTTTTTTTAGTATGGAGACTCACTTGTGTAGTTTAGCTTGTGTTGTCTGTACTTTTGGTATCATATTGACAAGTTTCTCCAAGGCCCTCACAGTTTCAGGTCTTAAGTTTAAGTCTTTAATTGATTTTTTTGTGTGTGTGTATGTGTGTGAGTGTGTGTGTGTGTGTGTGTGTGTGCGCGTGCGCGCGCGCGCATGCGCACATGCACATGATGTATGATAAGGGCCCAGTGTCATTTTTTTGCACGTTGGTATTGAGTGTTCCCTGCACCATTTGTTGAAGAAACTGAGTGTTCCCTGCACCATTTGTTGAAGAAACTATCCTTTCCCCATTGTATCATCTTGGCACCATTGTTGAAGATGAATTAGACATATATGAAGACAACATAATATTGATAAAAGGGTAGAAACACACAGGTCAACGGGACAGAGTAGGGTCCAGGAATAGAAGCATATTAACACAGCCAATTGATTTTTGACAAAAGTACTGAGATGACTCAGAAAAGATCTTACTCATTTTTATCCATGGAGAAAAGATGGTGGTTCTACAAAATGGTGCCGGAATAAGTGGGTATTTATATTTTAAAGAACAAGACTTTACCCATACGTGGTACTCTCACAAATATTAACTAAAGATGTATCATAGACCAAAATGTCAAATCTAAAGCTATAACACTTCTAGAACTGTTTCATATACTTTTGTGTGTGTGTGTGTGTGTGTGTGTGGCCATGCTATTTAAACTAAATAAAACTTAAAGTTCGGTTCCTCACTTGTTCTGGCCAAGTGTTAAGGCCTCAGCAGCTACTCTGGGTGGCTCTAGTTAGTGCATTGGTTAGCACAGATTACAGAAGATTCCTATCAGCACAGAAGGTTCTTTTGTGTACTCTTCTTTGAGAAAATGTAGGGGGAAACTTTGGAATCTTAATTAGGCAAAGATTTCCTAGGACCCAAAAAAATATAAACAATAAAAGATAAATTGGAACTTGGCAAAATTAAAAACTTTCTAGACTTCAGGAAACTTAAGAAAATAAGACATACCAGAATCAGGAAAAAAAAAACATTTGCAAAACATAATTGATAAAGAACTGGCAATGAAAACACAAGAAACTGAATTTTCAAAATTTAGTAATAATTCAAGAAATGTGACTAAAACATTTGAATAGACGTTTCACCAAATAAGAGAGATGGATGGCATATTATTTAAATTTTCTAATCTCATAATATGAGTATGCTTTAATATATATTTTTTAATCAGTAAGGATTATCTTATGGAGAAGTTTTGGATCTTCCTTTTTTTTTTTTTTTTTTTTTTTAAGTGTAGGGGTTGGATCCCAACCCTTGCTTATGCTAGGCAAGTGATCTACCACTGAGCTAGACCCAAACCTGGATCTTACTCATTTTTAAAGTGCTAAGCCTCACAAAACCTGAGTAAAAAGATTTTAATGTATTTGTCCATGTATTTGTCTAAAAAAAAAAGTAAGCATCTTTTTATGGTTGTTTTTGATGTGTCTTAGAGCAACAGGCTCTTAAGTAATCATATGTAGCATTATTAGTTATATGATCTTTAATGAATTGACTCATTCAGCCTGTTTGGACCATGAGAAAATGTGACCTTTCTGGTTGAATTTAAGTCACTCAGAGCTAGACAAAAAACCCAAACAAAACAACAAAAATATATATACACACACACACACGTGTGTATATACACCTTTGAGCATTATTGTCTTAAACCTAACCTGCCTAGGTTTTATGTGGGTGAACACGGTACTTGGGATGGTGGCCACAGTAAGCATGTGTCCTAACCACTAAGAGCTATGCTACCAAACATGGCAAAAGGACTTTGTAGGTGTGATTAAGCATCCTGGGGTGGAAGATTTCCTGGATCATGCTGGTGGAAGCCAAGCCAGGTACTCCAGGGTTCTGGTGAGAGAGGGAGGGAGGCAGGAGGGTCAGAGTAAAGCAGGATGCAGGAGACTCACCTGGACACTTCTGGCTCTGGCAGGGAAGGCAGTCAGCCCCAAGAAGCTGCAAAATATGAGGCAGTGGATTCTCCCTAGAGCTTCCAGAAAGAGCCTAGACGGAACTACATGATAATAAATTAGTGGCGGTGTCTTAAACTGCTAAGTTTTTGGTAACTTGTTATAGCATCAATAGGAAACTAGTGCAACATGACATTTACAAGTTCTAAAACACAGGCAGTAAGTAAAAAAAAAAATTTAAGTGGTAGCACACATTTAAAAAAAATTTCAAAGTCCCATTGCCAGCTCTACCAGGCTCCCTAGTGAGCAGATTTTTGGCCTTTATTCTTGTACCCAACTCTGTGAAATACGCTGTTCAAAATGTGTGTGCACTGAATGTGCTAAAAAGGCTGAGTGTTGTGAATCAACCCGAACATGAGGGGCGCTTCTCAGAAGGTGGGCTGTGGGCCACCTGCCTCACAATTAACATTGTAGGTTTCTACCACAATGTATTCATTTATCAGTTGATGGACATGTGGATTGTTTCCAGTTGGGATAGTGTTAATAATTATCTGTTTTTATTTATTTGCTGTGTACTAGGAATTGAACTCGGGGGCACTCTAGCACTAAGCTCCATCCCCAGCCTTTTTTTTTTCTTTTTGAGAAGGAGGCCTTGCTAAGTTATTGAGGTTGGCTTTGAATTCGTGATTCTCCTGCCTCAACCTCCTGAATTGCTGGGATTACAGGTGTGTATCATTGCACCTGGCAACAAAATTGTTTATAGTTTGCATAGAGGTTTTTGTGTAGCCATAAATTTTCATTTCTCTTGGGTAGCTGCTTGGTGGTTGAGTTTCAGGATCAAATAGTGTCGTTCCCCAGCACTCAGGTTGTAGATACTGCCTGATCTTTAGTTCTATAAGCCACTCCTTTTGGGGCCATTGCTAGCTATTCTTTCCTCAGTGAAATACTTCATTGTCCTTGACTCCAAGACCCTCAGACAGATTAAGGGAAGATCCCCTTCAAATGCATTGAGCGCCTTTCTGGGAGGAAGTGTGCTAGGTCCTGAGGATACAGAAATGTTCTAGTGGCCACTTTAGCCCTAAGAACTCCCGTCTGATACTTAAGAGATTTCCTCGGACAGGGGATCAGGGGAGGTGGAGGCATGGGACCCCAGCTGGGTGCACCCAGCTAGTGAAGCCCTAGAATGCGGAAGAATGGAGATGATTTGTGAAATCGGGTGATCTGGCTGTGAATCCCAGATTAGTTCTGTGTTGGCCGCGATTTCTTGTTTGGTAAGATAGGAATATATCAGGAAGGGAAAAAAATGCTATTTTAAAGGCCAGTTTGCTCTGTGAGTTGGCAGCTAAGGACTGCAGAATTAGTCTGTTGGGCCAAGGTAAAGGGCTAATTTAGATGGGAGTGGGATCTACAGAGTAAATAGGAATTTCTGATTTACCTGAAACTGAAGGTTTGTTTTTGTTTGTTTGAGCAAGAAGAGTGGGAGAGAGATAGTGGCCCCCAGCAGGCTGAGAGGTTGTCTGTCCAAAGGAAGGGGAGGGAGCCCTGATGGCTGTTTCAAATTGTTTCCTATTTCTTAATGTAATTTTCTTGCAGTAAAGGTCTTTTCTTCACAACATCCAGATATTAATGATGCTTTGGGGGCAGAACAGAGAGAGGGCTGGACCCACCCTGGGGGTGAACTGCAATAAAGAGAATGGAGATGTAGCCAGGTTTGACAGCACACACCTGTAATCTCAGCAACTCTGGAAGCTGAGGCAGGAGGATTACAAGTTGGAGGCCAGCCTCAGCAATTTATCGAAATCCCGTCTCAAAAAATAACAAGGGTTGGGTTGTAGCTCAGTGGTAAAGTGCCCATGGGTTCAGTCCCTAGTAGTTCTCCCTGCTCCCCACCAAGAGAGAGGGAGAGACGGTGAGAAGGAACAGAGATTTGGGTTGAAATCGAGATTTAGGATTAAAAAGAGGCAAGGTATCATTTGAAAGGTTTAAGTACCTTCTAGGGTCCTTGAAATTACTAAGGAAGGTTCTGGGCCTTTGTAGTTCTGTGCAGTATGGTGCAGAGTTTGTATTTGAATGTTAAATGAAAGATGGTGTCTCTGATATGAGTCACCCCAAGATACTACTTGCCAAAGTTGGGAGGCTCAAATGAGAATATAGGTGACAGCACTCCATAAACTAAGGAAATACATATCCCCAAGATAAAAATTCTTTCCTTGCAGATTCTTTAGAGAATTCAGATTCAAATTCCACATTGATCACAAATATGAGGAATAATTATCTGGAAGTCATGCGCTGTATGATTAGGTTTCATTCTTTATGAATTATTCAGTTTGAACCGATGGTTAAAATGGAATTTGGTTGAGATAAAATTTTAAAATGACTGGATGTGACCCAAACATGTCATGTGAAGACTACAGATATAGGATCCCACAGTAACAACATCAGAGCAATTCAGTAGGAACAGAAAGTAGCTTTTGGTCATGCAGTTGTTAGCTGGGGTTGTGGATAGGAGAGAAATAGGACATGGTTATGCTGCGAAGGAATGGGTGATAATGTGACTTGAGTACGTATTGGACATGTGGCATGTATTGTCTTAATGTTCATCATGTCCAAAGAACCAAATTCAAGTATTCTTTACTCTTTGGAAGGGGGGAATTGAAAATGGAAATGATTAAATAATTTGCTCAAGGTCATAACATGGAAGTGGTTGAGCTATTAAGGCTTCTCAAGTTCAAGGTCTATGTTCTTTCCACCCCACTGTGCTGCCCCTGGGCTCTGGTGCACTCAGCTCCTAAACCCTGGGTGGCTCAGGTCTCCAATGTCAAACCAAATCTTAAGCTTTCTTCTAGAGAGCTTTGACAGAGAATTCCCAGCTTTTCTGAGATGCTATTGGTGATAACATTTGTGAAAAAAGAAATAAATGTCTTGCATATGCTGAGGAGCGAACAGATTAAAATCCTGAATTTTCTTAAGTTTCATATACATGGGACCAACTATAAATATAAGTGAGTGAGTGTGTGTGTGTGTGTGTGTGTGTGTGTGTGTGTGTAATTTTCTTTTTTTGGTGAGGTCAATTACAAAAAATGCTGGCAAACTCTTTCCATTTGCGGTTCTTGCATGCAGTGAGCACTGATGTTGTGGGACTCTTTGTGTTATTGTTCAGAACCCACCTTAGGGGTTTTCTAAAACTCTGAAATCTTATTCTATAGTGGTTTTTAGCTTTCTTTTTCTTTCCAGGCTGGGCGGATGAGGAAGTTTCACTTCTAGGTGTGAGGATTCTCTTTCACACTAGTTTGTCATGAACTTAAAGAATTGTTAGTTTCTCCCTTGGTATTTTCTTTTTCTTTCAAGTGGCACTCCAGTAGGCTAGAGATTTGTTGTACCGAATGAGTTTAAAATGCCACCATGGGGAGAGTCCATAGGCATTGTCTGAGCTGATCAAATAAATGTGAAACACCTGACAGTGGTCTACCTTTTAATTTTCTTTCTGTTGTTAGGTTTTTAGGTTCAGACCTGGAGGCTAGTGATGCTTCTGAGTTGGGCTTTAGGTTGAGAGTTGGTCAATATGGCAGCCGGTGCTCAAGGTGGAAAAAGTATTTGTTAGGATCATAATTCTCCTAATTTTAATTGCCATCATTGCTCTCTCCTGTCAGATAATTGATGAAGCCTAAGTCATTTTGAGTTGCAACCACCCACAAAAACCACACACATGGTGTTTTACTCTAAACTTGACTTAAACCACTACTTTGTGATGCAAAACTGGTGGAATTTTGGGTACTTTCTGTAAAATCGAAATCTTGATGGGGGTTTTCCAACATTCTAGTTGATTTTAGCAAGTTATCAGTGTAAAGAAGAAGAGCAAAGAGTTTGCTAATAGATACCAACTTCTGCATTGGACAGAATACCAGCAGACCGGAAACTTTTTGCTTAGAGGCAGCCATCCTGATTGGGTTGAGAGTGATTCTCCTTTGGAAAAATGCAGCTAACTATGAGGTATTTACATATGCAATGTATAGTTGTCAGAAGTGTTAGAAGATCACCTGGTTCTTATCTCTGCCACAGAGTTTTCAGTCTTCATAAGGGATTCCTAGTCAATACTTTCTAATTTGTAGATTCTCTTATGAGAGACAGTTGAAAAGAAATGTGAGTCAATTTGTGTTGTCCCTCATGTAGGAATCAGGGAGAAGTATTCTGGAAAGTAGTGACTGATAAAATAGTAGAGCTCTGTTCTGGAAGGAAGACAGTAATCGGAAGAACTACGTATTTGTCTAAGCCAGGATATCCTGTTTGTTTTGGAGCCAAGTCTCTGGGCAAGTTACCTATTTGGGGCTCAATTTCTTATCTTTAAAACAAGTTTCATTCCTGCTGGGTGCAGTGGAACACATCTCAGGAGGCTAAAGCAGGAGGATCTCAAGTTCAAGGCCAGCCTTACCAACTAAGCAAGATCTTAAGCAACTTAGTGAGAATCTGTCTCAAAAATAATAAAAAGGGGGGCTGGGGATGTGGCTCAAGCGGTAACGCGCTCGCCTAGCATGCGTGTGGCCCGGGTTCGATCCTCAGCACCACATACAAACGAAGATGTTGCGTCCGCCGAGAACCAAGAAAAAATAAATAAATGTTAAAATTCTCTTTTAAAAAAAAATAATAATAATAAAAAGGGATGGGGTTGTGGCATAGTAGTAAAGCACCTCAGGGTTAAATTCCCAGCTACCTCCCCCCCCAAAAAAAAGAAAAAAAAGTTTCATTTGTGTCATGTGGCTTAGTAGATCATATTTTTTTCAAAAGCTTCCAATAAGAGTCTATATGCTTTCTTATGTAAGGTGAGTTCTATTATAAAGTTTTCTAATAAACACAATTTTTTCCCTTTCCTAATCTGTAAAAACATCATTTTGGCAAAAATCCAACTTCTTTCTATGTTATTATGTTCTATATTGGTTTTGAGGATGGAACTCAGGGGTTCTTTACTATTGAAGAATAGCCTTTTTATTATATTCTGAGACAGGGTCTTGCTAAGTTGCCCAGGGTGGCCTCAAACTTGTGATCCTCCTGCCTCAGCCTCCTGAGCCACTGGGATTACAGGTGTGCACCACTGTGCCTGGCCTGCTCCTAATATTTTTAGAGGAATACATTTTCCTAATTAATGATCTTCTGATTAGACTTGAAATAACTATCAGAAACTTTTAGGCTATTTCCTATTAATGCTTTATCCAAAGTATCTACAGGAAAGAATTCAGAAATCAAGAATTGAATTTTTTTGAAAACAGGTTAATTACTTATTGAAAAGATCTTGATAGTGTTCCATTAGTAAAGCTTTGTTTGGTTAGCTGCTGCAAAGACTGAGTTGCTGATCAGCTTTTGCAAATAAAGTCAGCTTGCTTTATTATTTGATAGGAACTAGTAATTTAAACAGAGTGAAAGTGTGGGTTTTACTGGAGCAAAATCAAGTAGTCCGTTTTCAGAAAGTACAACCAAATTTTAAAAATGTCAAATGAAGAATAATGAATAAAGAACATGGTCTTGGAAGGAAAACAAAACAAACAAACAAACAAAAGCAAGCATGTTTGAGAGGAGTAAAGATAGAACTAAGAAAAAATAGAGCTAAGAAAAATCATACAGGAGGGGATATCATTTAGGACCATAGCCAGAATGGCAGCTTTCCTTATAGAGGGAAACAGGTTTATAACTGTACAATTTCAGGAACAGAAGTAGAAAAGGGTAAGACGCCATAAATGTTAAATGGAATGGAATTTCTAAGACCTGCTCTTTAGCCAGTGGTATTAGAGAAGGAAATCTGACAATGTTTAAAACGTGAGCTGGTGTGTGGCAGCAGACTTTTGTTTTGGGTACTGCAAATTGGACTCCAGGGGCACTTGACCACGGAGCCACATACCCATTCCTTTATTATTTTTGAGATGAGGTCTCACTAAGTTGCTTAGGGCTGCAGTAAGTTGCTGAGGCTGGCCTTGAACTTGTGATACTCCTTCCTGAGCCTCCCAAGTTGCTGGGATTACAGGTGTGTGCCACCATACCTGGCTAGGCAAACTTTTAAAATCAAATAGAGGGAAGCAAAATGGCTTTCCTGCATGTTAGTCCTGTACCCCATATTTGATGCTGGGTCTGATGACACTCCTGTCTGGACAGGTGACTCTAAAGGCTAGGAAAGCCAAGAGAGGTGTTGGGAAGGTGGTGAGGGAGAAGATGGGCAGAGTGGCATTTGCATAGCAGGGCCATAGCCTTGACCTTCAGACCCATTTTGAGTGCAGTCACTCCAGTGGTGACCCCCTGACTCCAAGGGCAGGACTTGCTGCATGCAGGGTGGGGTGACATTCCAATTTCAGTGATTTTTCTGCTGAAGCTGGCAAACAAAATGAAGATGTGTATCTTCAGTGACAGGATTCAAATTAAACATGACAAACCTGTAAAAGCTGCCACCTCGACATGTCACTGCAGAACTTTCCAGAGAACTGGCAGGGGCTTGGGAGACAAACCACACATGCTGCCACATTGTGTTGGGCAGCAGGAGACATCAAAGAGAAAGCCCTGGGGAGAGCAAGTCCTTGCTGGCTCAGGTGCCTGTCGTGGGGTTGAGCACCGAAGCCTTTCTGGGTTCAGATAAAAGCAGGCGTCTACTTTGGGCTGGTCTTATGATGGAAAAATTTGGTAGAATTAGACTGTACTGAGAAATTATTCATTTTGTATCGAATTTATGAAGGAGAAGCACTGGTTATAAAAAGTCATCGTTTAGCTGTAACTTCATCCAGATCCAGTTCCCAGCGTTGGGTGGGAATTATTCATACTTATCAAAGTATAGCAAAAATCAGTGTCAAAAACAGCAGCCAGCGTGAGCACTGCCTTGAGGAGGAACAGTTTTTCTACATTTGTTTTCCCCCAAAGCCAACTCTCACATCCAAAACAAAAAGAAAACATTTTAGACTCTCTACTGGAGGACCCTGACCAGGTGGCCCGAAACCAGCTGTTAGTGATGCTTACACCTGGTAGGTACCAAGAGAAAGATCCCCAGCAAAAGTCCAAACTAAGGGTGAAGGGACAGAAAGGAGAGAAAAAAGGGTGAAAAGGGAATCTCATCAAAATAGAGGAAAGGGCTTGCCTCGCACGCAAGAAGCCCTGGATTCGAGCCCCAGTTCCAAGAAAGGAGAGAGATAAGTAGACAAAGAGGATTGAGGGGGAGGAAGGAGGGATCGGGAGAGGGAAGAACAGTGGAATGTGTCTGACTGAACCTTTGCATGTGCGTGTGTGGGTATTCCACAGTGACGTTCAACACCAAGTACACCCACAGGATAGTAATAAAAAAAAAAAAAACTATAAATAAATTACAGATAGATCAGTGGGGGGGGGGCGAGGGCAGTGCTTGGGACTGCCTTAGAGCAAATTATATTTCATGCTTTTGTGATCATGACAAATATATCCCAATATTATAAAGAATTTTTTAAAATGCAAAAAAAAAAAAAAAATACATGGGAAAAGCCTCTGAGACAGAACATGCCTGATTTGTCAAGAGTATCAGGGTAGGGCTGGGGATGTGCCTCAAGCGGTAGCGCGCTCGCCTGGCATGCGTGCGACCCGGGTTTGATCCTCAGCACCACATACCAACAAAGATGTTGTGTCCACCGAGAACTAAGAAAAAAAAAATATTAAAAATTCTCTCTCTCTCTCTCTCTTTAAAAAAAAAAAAAAGAGTATCAGGGTACCCATGACAGTGAGACTGGCAGTCAGCATTCTAGATGAAAAAAGGAATAGGGTATCATACTCCCCAATACTTGTTCCAGTGGTTCTCAGTTACTGTCATTTTTTTTTAACATCTAGCTCAGCATTTTTGAATCATTTTGATAACCAAACCAGCTGGGGTTGAAGTTGGTCCTAAAGAAAGTAATTCACAAAGAAACGCCCAATGAAAGCCACCAGTTACTTCATATGATTCTGCATCATTTATTAAATACTTTCATATATGCATTTACAAACTTGACTCATTTCAGAACTCTTTTTAAAACATTTTTGCAGAGAGATTCTGTAGTAAAATGAGACCCATGTACAAAACTAGGCAACAGGTATAAAAGTTTCCTTTCATACTTTCCATCCATCCCGAAAAGAAATCATGTGACACAGAAAGAAAATCACAACGTGGCTCTTCCAGAAGAATAACATGTCAGTGTTCAACTCTGGGTTCTAAGGGGCCAGTTCCCATTTCACCTTCATGTGGCTGTATATACTTTTAATTATTTTAGCTACAAGAGCATGTTGGTTTGGATGAAGGAAAAACCGTTTGGACTAATACTCTAGAAACCATCCAGTCCTCATTTCTCTATCCCGTGACATCCAAACTCACCCAGGAGATGACAATGATTCCCAACGTTGTGTAAAAAGTTCCCTTTAAAAACATCATTCCTCACAAGCTACAGTAGTGAGCATCTACCGTGGCCTCTGATTTAAAGAAAGAGTTTAATAAGTGATCAATTTAGAAGTATTCTTGAAACTAAAGTTGCGTTTCTTAAAATGAACGCCAGCTGAACAGCTGATAGACATGGAGCGTTGTCAGGCACGGATGCCACTAGCTATGACAAACAGCTTCACCGTAGGATAATTACATGGTACAAAATGCCCAGGGGCCTGAAACTCACTAGTAATATAATTTTGGCAGCAGCATCATTTGATATTTAACCATTTATTACATAGTATTAACACACCAGCTTCAAAGATGTGCACTCCCTGTAGGACACTGGGGAGTTACAGACTTATTGTGATTGCGTAATTCATATTGCACTGTTTTATAAAAAACATAAATACTGGCTATTCTAGTTTTAAATACAAAATACATGTCATATGCTTTTAAATCTATAATCTGGTTCAAGTGCAAATCAGGTGCTTTCTTTAGTCCTTCCAAAAAAGGCATTTTTAATATTTTTGGCACAAATGAAATGTCATCATGCCGTTCAACAAATCTAGTTACAATACATATATATCCAAACCTTTAGAGTAGCAATCATATACATACAGTATAAAACTGAGTTATTTACAAATATACTAAGCATAAATGTCACTTAGTGGGTGAATCAGAACTAATTAGCCATACCCACGCTAATAATTAAAAAAGGTCAACACAGTTCCTCTCTCATTTGCTTATGCTGGTTGCTGTGGGTTGACATTCATGTGAGGCGGATGTCCTAGAAGACCAATTCTTTGTTTCTGCTTCCTTTGTTCTGTCATCTGGAAAGTTAAAAAGTTTCATCATTAGACCCAGACACTTCCTGTACGTCAAATCATATTCTGAACCATAGATTTACCTCTGTGGTTACGGTTTGTACTGAAACCCACTTTCTACAAATAGTGTACTGTCACCGTATCAAACACACAGCTTCAAAAAGGGAATCTTCCGAGGCAGAATGGGGAATTCTGTGACCTCGTCATGCAATGGTAACAGTCATAGGTACAGCTTGCTCCTTGTTTCACAAGGAAACAAAAAAACGTGAAAAGCATAGGATTCTTGATTGTTTCCCAAACCCATTTCCAAATGACTGAAGGACTCTTTGGAAAATGGTGGCTCTGTACGACAGTGACAACACGCCATACGACCCAGAAAAGCAGCAAGGTCAGAATCCCAGGGTTGAGAGAGAATAAGTCCACGCTCTTCGCTGGGTTCCTCTCCCCAGTGATGCTTGTGAGGTTGGTTAGAGGGGGGAAAAACAAAAAGTGACAGTCATCTGGGAAGATGAGAAATGTCCTCACAGCTCTCTGAGATCCAGAATAACCAAATACTGTCCAGAAGGCCCTGGCCACCAACAGCTGCTGAGTGTAACTGAAGGCCAGGAGAGACCACTTCCTAAGCCAGGCTCCAATGAAAAAAGGCTTGCGCAACCCAAAGCAAAAAGGGAGGGTTCCACTCTGAAATGCTCCTGAGGATGGGGCACAGTCTCGGGAATAGATAGGGTATACTTAATCTTCTGAATTCTGATCTTTTTCCTTGACCCAGTTGGTGCTAGCTCTGGTTTTGAGACTATAGATTTAAAAGGCTCTAGGAGGGATGTGGCTCAAGCGGTAGCGCGCTTGCCTGGCATGTGCGCAGCGCTGGGTTCGATCCTTAGCACCACATACAAATAAAGATGTTGTATCCACCGAAAACTAAAAAATACATATTAAAGACAGAATTTTTTTAATATTTATTTCCTAGAGCCTTTTTTAAAAAAAAATTGTTGTATGCAAGTGGCTTAAGGTCCTACTCTAAGCTTTCTGGTTTCCTAAAACTGGACAGGAGTAAAAAGAGCATAGAGGCTTTGGAACCAGAACTGTTTCTTTGTTTTTTTTTTTCACATTTCCAGGTCATTTCTATCTCATAGGAGGATGGAGGCAGATAACCTAGGATAAGTCAGGTGTGTGGTGCCCACCTGTAACCTCAGCTACTTGGAAGGCTGAGGCAGGAAGATTGCAAGTTGGAGGCCAGCAGCAACTTAGTGAGACCCTGTCTCAAAAATAAGTCGGTCTTTGTCATTTTTTTCAGTATTAGGGGTTGAACCCAGGTGTGCCTTGCCACTGAGCTACATCTCCAGCCCTTTTTGTTTTATTTGGAGACAGGGTCTTGGTAAGTTGCTGCAAATGGCCTGGAATTTGGGATCTTCCTGCCTCAGCCTCCCAAGTCAATGGAATTACAGGCATGGCCACCATGCCTGTCTTAAATCTTAGTTTTTACTTGAACTGATTTTTGGTACAAAATATCCTAGTTTCAGTATGAAATGGTTATTTTTTTTTTCTTTTTTAGAACATCAGTTATCTTCCCAAGTAATTATTTTTAGGCTCCTGTGGAAATGCTTTCTCTCCTGGTAAATTTTATCTAAATTATAATAGACTTTTCCAAAAGGAAGCTTTCAATAGAAGCTTTTTGTAGGGTACTGAATGAGGATGTTTCAGATGCCTCTAAAGTTTCCTTGGGTGAGTGACAACTCTTGAAGAGAAGTGTCACCCACTATACTACATTCACTGGTTCTGCTAGGTTAAGGACAGCTTTGCGTGCACAAGGAATACTATTCCCCATTGAATTCAAACACCAGCCATTCAATCCTTTCACTGCCTGATCCCTCAGATATTTAGCTCGGAGTCCCTCCCTGCCAACTATGCCCTAGACAGGTAATCCTGAGAGGGAATCCAATAACCCTTAAGTGGATAATCCCAAGCATTCAGATGGATTTAGTAAGCCTGATCGGCTCATCCCCTACGAAAAATACTTTTCTGAAGTTTCTATTTAAAGCTGCTGAGCTCTTTTTTTCTGTCATTTTTCTTTCCATAATTATTGGTACTAGAGATAAGCTTTCTTTTATGTATACATGTTTACCTCCCGGTTGTTAAATCGGTGCTCCTTGACTCCTCAATTACTTGGTCATTCTCTCTCTTAAATTTACAGCCTCTAAAACACTATGGAGTCTTAAGTTGCCAGCCTGAGGTCCTGCTCAAGCTTTCATAGGTTTGCCTAAGTCATCACATCTGCCAACCCCTAATGCTCCCCACTGATAGAGGTTATTACCTAAGAATTTGCCACTAGCCTCTAACGGATCATTACAAATACCAAGTACATATCTATCCAAGATTGTTGTGTTGCCCTAAAAAAGAAAATTGTGGCTCATACTGAAGTTCAAGAGCAATCCCAGAGGCTTTGTTAGAACACAGATCAAAGGGTGTGCAGAGTCGGATGTAGTAGGTCTAAGGTGGGGCCCATGAATTTGCATTTCTAACAAGTTCCCAAGGGACAAAGACGCCACTGGCCTGGAATATGTTCTGAGAACCATTGTTCTAGAACAGCTTTTCATTAATAATTTTCAAAATCAGCCACAATCACTTTGGGTACATTTTCCTATACTTGAATAAGTTGAAAGAGCCCAGTATTTGGTGGTACATATAGTCTTTTTCTCATCTAAAAGGTGGCATGGGAGAAAATTCTTGATAGCTAGTGTATACAGCAAGCACACACAATGTCTAATCCTGTTTTGATCAATCTCATTAGCTTTTTAGATAAATGACAATAGCATTGACTTAACTGCCATCTTAAGTGATAGAAAGAGAAGGAAGTGGACATTGCTAAAGCATTTGGTCCTCTTGTCAGTGGTTATCATCCAATAACAATTAGAAGGGATATAAGACTAAACTGTAGCAAAAGCCCCCTAAGGAGTAAACCTGACCTCTAAAGAATGGGGCCAACACTGCTGACCATCCAGGTTTGCCCAGTCCTTCACGGCTTACATAGCTTCTGGCTGTTATTTTCTCAATTCTGCCTATTCACACACATGCTATATGTATCTATAGTTCTTACTATAACAGCATTCTGATCTGTTACCTATATCAGAGCAAATAGTTGATCCTCTGCCTAACGTCACAGGGTTCTCTCTCTGGACATCTGAAACAAAGCTATCCATTAACATTCACATCTAAAGTAACCACAGTTGAGATTTTAACATCAGAACATATTTAGAAAAGTCCCACTTATAATACAGGTACACTCCTCAGAGTTCCCACATAGTTGAGAATGCGCAGTGGAAGCAATGCTGACCTTGGTATCTATACAAATATATAAACTAGCTTAGAATTCTTTATTCCCCCTTTTCATTCCAGTCTAAATCAGAAGCAAAGAATACTGTAGCTGTACAAGTCAGATGCAACCACACATAGGCCGAGGGCACAAATGGGCACAGGAGGAAGGTTCGCCCATGACACTAAAACACCAGTCTGCTTTATAACCTTTTTTTTTTTTTTTTGTACTGGGGATTGAGCCAGGGTGCTTAACCACTGAGCCACATCCCCAGTCCTTTTATATATATTTTTAGAGACAGGGTCTTTGTGAGTTGTGTAAGCCTCACTAAGTTGCTGAGACTGGCTTTGAACTTTCAATCCTCCTGAGTTGCTGGGGTTACAAGTGTGCACCACCATGCCTGGCTCTATAACAGATCTTTATAGTGTTTGAAGAGCTGCTTTCAAGTTACAATAGGGTCCTTATTTCAATCATTCTAAACAGGAGATATTGTCAGAGTTGCTTTTTACAGTCCTGAAAAACTGAGACATTGAACTAAAGCGTTTCTTGAATACAAATATTGATTCAATAGAACTGTGTACATGATGGCGTTCAGAATCTGGGAGTGGCTGCCTAGCACTGTCTGCTCCTCTCCCTACCCTGGGCTAGGTTTCTGTGGTCTCGACCCCAGTCCTCTCCCTAGGCTCAGTCGTAGGCATCTCTCTGTTGCCTCATTCCCAGAGCGATCTGTGCAGACCTCTAGTGTACACTGCTTAGGTTTAAGCATAATTGATGCTGAACTTCCTTGTCTCCCAATTTAGACTGTTGGTTCTGGAAGGCAGAGGCTAGACCTCTCATCTTTGTGTCCCTGTACCTGATCACTCTGTGGTTTGCAATGTTGGTTGAGGAAGTGATGTGGATTAACCAGAACATTCTGCCATTCCTGAGCGTGCCATGCATTGTCATGCTTTTGCTCATGCCAGTTCTTTTCCTGGGAAGCCCCTTACTGCGTTTCTCTGCCAGCTCAGAAGCCACCTGCTTAAGGCTATGGAAGCTGAACTCTTCCCTTTCAGCCTCACTGTGGACCCGGGACCTGCTTCTCAGCTCCTCACACCACACAATACTCTGAGACATCTCCTTCTCCATCTCGCTCGCTAATTATGGGACCTGAGAGGGCAGACGTTGTTTTAGTCCTCTTTTATGATCCCAGCATAATATAAGGAACATGAATGCATTCAGTAAGGTCTGTTCAATCCTCCATTCCACAACTTGGGACCATATTCTCTAATCTTTTTTTAAAAAATTATTATTCCTTAAGCAGTTAATGTTGGTAAGATAACCTTTTTGCATGAAAAATGCAAATGCTGTAACATGCTAACATGATCCAGATTTCCAAGCACTTCTTATATTCCTAGCAATGATGGGTGACTGTCCTATGGGAAGCCAGACGCATTTTCTAGAAAGTTAACCCTTTGCTCAATATAGGCTCTTTTGCATTATGAAGGAAACATGCAAAAAAGAAATATTAAGGTCTTACATTAGTTCTCCTCCTTGGAATAAGGATGTAAGAGAATCACATTTAGTATTCAGAATCTCTTGGGAGGGGAAACTTGAAGATGAGATGCATCATTAATACTTACTTAGCATAACAGAAAAAGGACCAACCACCTGTGGACTAATATTCTATAGGAGCAGTTCCTCCCCCAGTTGGTCATTTAAGAAAACCACCACCAAAGAGGTCAGGGACAGTAAGGATTAAAACCAGAGCCAGCCACATTGAAACCACCCTTGTCCCATTATGCTCAGAAGATCTACAAAATATCTAAGTGATGAAGCAGCTTCTGTTTTCCCACATTTTTCTCAGTGAATGGTGTTCTTTCATGGTTGTTTTAGAAAATATCTATTACAGAGTTTCTTGTTCGTTAATCATTCCTGGGGCTTAATTAAAAAATTTTCCCTTTTGAGGGCAAGAATGCTCACAATTATTTCAGATCCAGGAGCTCTCCAACATATCTGTGCGATTTCTTTTTAAATGCAAAATGGTTTAAGAAATTTTGATTGTTATAACAACATTAAAATTCAAATCTATTCAACATGCAAATGCACTAAAGGTTTGTTAGAAATCATATAATTGAAAGAAAACACTGACTGGTTCATTTTGAAGGAAGCAAGTGCCCTCCCTGCAGAAGCTATGCTGAATTTTTCTGCAATTCTGGGCACCTTAGAACTTAAGCAGAGCAATCCTGTGAAAAGTGCTGAAGAATGTGTTACTGATTCTTCATGTTTCTTTGTAGCTTTTGCTATCTTCTAAGAAAAAAATAGTTCAATCTCGATCTTTCTCAGGGAGGGGCGTGCTTGAAAACCAAAAATTGAAAAAGCACTGGGATTAAGCAGTATAAAACCATTCTAGTTCTAACATCTATATTTAGTCAAATCTTAAGTTTAATAGGAATGATTCTATGTTGTATTTAAAAAATGCCAAGTCTCTACCCGTTTCAGGGGTGTAAAATAAATGCAACCCCCATTCCACCAATGGGCAGGATGCAACTTGTGAAACATTACGCCTCTTTTAAAAAAAAAAAATTAAACAGTGAACAAGAAAATGGAGTACAGCAACAAAACAAAGCAAATCAAAACAAACACATACACAACACAAAAACAAGCCCACGCTGGGGGGTCAGGAGCTCCCACCCTGGCAGTGTCCCCTAAAGTTGCATAAGTTTCCTAAGAGCCTCCTGTGTTCCTGGGGTGAAATGACTTGGCTCAACTCTTGCACCATGCTCACTGGTGTGCAAAGCAGGCACAGAAGCGTCTGCTGAGTTGTCCTCGGTGCAGCAGCTTCTCAGAACCCAAAGGACTGGGAGAGGCTGGAGGGAAGGGCTTGTTTGGTTTTACCACAGCAAACCCCAAAATATAGCAGTTTTGTATGACAAATTTTAAGAGACTCTCTAGTAAACTGGAAACATCTAGTTCCTCATATTAAGATATGAGCCCTTGAAGAGCATCCAGGTGTGACAATGAGAATTAGTCACGAATGAGCAAGAACAAACTTGGGCTGCCGTGGGACACAGGATATCCCTATAGCTGTAGTTCTGGTGCCACACGCACCTAACACAGATGATGCGTGTCACCAGACTTTCTGGTGAGCCAGTTCCTTCATTGGTCTGTCCTAGATCAGTGTGAGCTTCTTTGGGAACCTAATTTAAAACATCTGGTTAAATTTAATTTCTTGAAGCCACAACTATCTCCAGAGGGAAAGGATGAGAACTCGAGCTTGGGAGGGTCTTTAAGAAATTGCCCTGGGGACTGGCAAGGACAGAGGCAGCTGCAGCATCACATGTCGGTTCAGTCTTGCCAAGATTTGTCAAATGTTGCACAGCAGGGCGAACAGTTAATAAACAAAGTAATCTAGTTAGATCTTGATTAGTCTTCAGGTATTACTCATTTTAGGATGCCACCAAGCTCAGGGCTGTAGGCAGCCTTCATCAATAAGGTCTGCTTTCTTTATTCATCTTTTTAAAATTTATATCTGAATACATACGAAAAAAAAGAACTTGAGGCCAGCTGGCATTTGGGGGGCTTAGTTGAGAATAATTTAGTTTCAAAAGGAATAAACTTAGCTTTATCTCGAAGAATTGGTGGTAGATGAAGTCTTCACCAGTTATGTACTCAATCACCTGAGGGGGTGCATCCTGCAACTTACCTCCGGGGCCAAGTTGCCTGGACCAAATTCATCTAGTCTACAGAAAAAGCTTTCAGAAACAAAATGCTGAACTGTACCTGTCTGTACATGATTATCCCTGTCAGCTACAGAAATGCAAGATCAGTCTGCTAAGGAGCAGGGCACAGGCCATCCTATAACTAGGTCATCACCTGGTGACAGAGTGTTCAATTTAAGGGGTTATACAGGGTTTGGTTTAAATCCCCTTACCTTAAAAGGTAAAGCATTTATCATAGGAGCAGGAAGGGCAGTGTGGACTCCCACCCTCTGGGAAACCTGAGATTATGTCTCTGTCACTTTCTATCACGCTCCTGGCAGCCACTTCATAAGCATTTGGCAAACAGGCTTTTCCATGACTATAGTTTATCCCAGGATGCCGAATTTACATCTCTTGGATGAAGATTTGAGAAATCTGAGGGCTAAGTAGCCAAACAAGAAAGAGCTTTTCATTCTCTGTCTCCGCAAAGAGAACTAGGCATTTTTTTTTTTTCTTGTCCAGTACTTTGGTAAAGTAGTTTGCATTTTGACTTTTTTTTTTTCATATTAAAACCATGTCCTTAGCAGCACTGAAAGTAGTGTGGCCACTACTACTGGCCTTATCTTTTGATGGTGCCAGGTCTGTTCTCTCCTCCCTAGTCCTTTCAGGCTAAGTACTTCAACATGGTAACATGACGACTGCAGAACTGTCCCTCCAGTCCCATTTCAGGGGCATGTGTGTGTTGGGAAGTCGGGGTTTCCCTCCTTTACCTGGTCCTTTAATTCTGACAGCTGTCCAGAGAGATTAGTGACAAGCTTCATGGTAGATTCCAGCTTCTCCTGCAGGTTCCTCAGCTCGTTCTGTTCTCCTTCGGAATCGCTGCTGACCAAGGACATGGCTCTCATCCTGGGGAACCAGTCAAGGTTTCTTTCCTAGAATCCACATGAAGGAAAAAGAAAGAGTGGGAGTTAGTAGAAGGGCAGAAAGGCCGCCGTACCATGCCGTTTGGGGGGCGTCTCTATGTGATCTGTCCCTTGTGAAACAAATGTGCTATTATGCTTTTTAACTATTCAGTAATGATCTTTTAAAGGAACATAATGGACCTCTTAATTCTTAGAAAAGGAAGTTGTTTTAACATTTAACTCGGGGGGTAAAAGAAGGTTTCCAAATTAGAGTCCTCATCTGCAACTCTGAATACTGCTGCGGGGGCTCTGGTCTTTTCACAGGATAGGGCTGGTGATAAGGTCTGTTTTAAATTGTGGTAAAATGTGCATAGCACACTTTAGCCATTTTTGAAATTTTGCAGTGGTATGAAGTACATTCACACCACTGTGCAAGTATCACCACAACATTTTTTTTTTCTTTTTTTGTGGTACCAGGGATTGAACCAGGAGTGCTCTAGCACTGAGCTACAATCCAGTCCTTTTTATTTTGAAGCAGGGCGTTGCTAAATTGGTGAGGCTGGCTTCCACCTTGCCATCCTCCTGCTTCAGCCTCTGGAATTGCTGGGGTTACAGATATGCACCACCGTACCTGGAAACCAGAACATTTTTCAATCTTCCCAACTGAAATCCCAAACCACTGATGGCAGCCTCCATTTTATAATCTGAACTTGCCTACTCTAGGTAGCTCATACTATGCTGCATATTCTTAAAACTTAAATTTTTTTTTACGTAGTACTGAGGATTGAACCCAGGGTCTCACACATGCTAGGCAAGCATGAGCTGAGCTATACCCTCAACCCCCTATGCTGCATATTTTAAGAGCCCACGGGTTCTGGCATTTCAACAGAATAGTGCAATATAATGTGCCTGGTAAGGGGATTGTTGAAGAGGCTGAAAACAAGGCCTGGGGGCTCCCCAATCATTTTCCCAGTTTCAGAGCTTATGGACACCACCCTACTGGTTTCCTGTTCTTCCCATGCTGAAAAGCTTAATGGGAGCTGTCCACTGTAGGAGGCAGAGTGACCGTTCAGCCTCCTTCCCCGAGGGCACAGTGTTTCTCACTGCTGGTTAGCAGGATGGGTTTCCTCTCTTCTGGCCTCACTTCCTCCCACGATATATGCCTTCTCCTTCACAGCTTTCTTCATACCTAGGTTCTATACAGAGAGGCAGGTATGAGCAAAAGAGCAGCTCAATCAGCCGGAGGAAGAAAGCTGACTCATTCCAGAAGTAATCATGCTTCTACCTCCCCAAACACGCACAATAAACATGTTATCTCTGCTTTGTGTACACCAGGGGTCAGGAACATTTTTTTTTTTTTTTAATATGAGAATGTTGACAGTCAATGTTCCTGGCTTTGTGGACCACATGGTCTCTGTTACAACTACTCTGTATTGTAGTCCCCAAACAACCACAGACCATATATAAGTGGATGGTGTGGCTGTGTTCGGTCTGCTGGACAGAGTTTGCCAACCTCTGTTATACACAGAAGGCTTCAACTGGGTGTGGTGGTGCATGTCTATGATCTCAGCAACTAGGGAGGCTGAGGCAGGAGGCGCTCAAGGTTAGTCTGTTCAACTTAGCAAGACCCAGTCTCAAAATAAAAAATAGAAAGGACTGGAGATGTGGCTCAGAGGTTAAGCATTTCTTGGTTAAATCCCCAGTACCCCTCCCCCGAAAAAAAGTAAAATCCATGAGGCATATGTAAATATTATGAATCAAGTGAAATGGTTAAACTGTGTCATGACCTAAGGCAACCTCACAGGGTAGAAACCATCTAAGAACTAGTTGGAAAATGTCACAACAGGCACAGCACACTGGTCACACAGCAGCACATCTACTTTAGGGTGTTTGTTCAAGACATCAGGAGAGTCTCGCAGGCAGGAACTCACTAGCCGGCCTGCATCATGAGGGCTGGGGCCACCTTTGGGAAATCGTGACACTGTGTCCTGTGTGCACCCTTGATAAGACGTGAAAACAGCATGTTGGAGTTGCCTGCAATGACTGCAGGGGAGGAAAGAGATGATCTCTGCCTTCCCAGACTTTGAGATAAGCACTTCATTCAGAAGTGCCTTCACGTACCCCTCTGTTCATTTCCCACCACAGAGTAACAGGCAAAAGATCATTTCACAAAATAACATTTTTTAAGCTACCATCTTAAAAACATAAGTGTTTCTCCACTGGTAATCAGTTTCCCCGGTGTGGCCATCACTAATTAGATTCACTGCCCCAGTGTCCACCCTACAGATCTGATAGCCCCATTTTCCCACCAAGGAAACAGCCCACATTCAATATTGGTGCAACTTGGAGGAATGGAGCTACCTTTTCAGAAGAGCTCTCCCCGCCCCCCCGGGCCAGCTGTGGAGTGGAGATGGGGAGCACCCACCTGAAGGAGCCAGGAGCCCAACCCAGGCATCAGAGGTCCTGGACACCCCAGTGACTGCTACTAATTCCAGAGGAGGAGACAAAAGTCTCACTTGCCTTGTCAAAGGGGGGAGCCCATGGTTAGGCCATCAACTGGGATGTGACAAAATGTACTGCCAGGAGGGAACTTAAGAGATCACCAGTCCCACTACTGTAAGTAAAGATGCGGAAATACGAGGCTCTGAAAGAGTAGTTTGTCAAGGGCTGGGGAGGGTAGGGGTAGGTGGCAGCAAGAAACCAATGGCTATTTTTCAAAGCAGATCCTGAAAATTATCTAGTGCATAGAAATCATAGACTGCTCCAACTGAGTACTTTTTTTGGGGGGGGTCAGATATTTGATAGTTACATGAATTCGAATAAAAAGTGTAAACACTGGAAAGTATTTAAAAAAAAAATACTTCTGGCAAACTCAACAAGCGCTTCAGGAGCCCACTGCTCTATGCTGAGGATACAGCAGAGAGCAGTAGGAAGCCAGTCACACGTGTGGCTGCCATTTCAGGGAACAGCCAGGACTTTAGCTGACTGAGCACGGAGGTGCAAGTGATTCTGACCTCTCCTGGGTGCATTTGCTTAGCAAACCCTCTAGAAAAATAGAAAGTGAAGATTTCCAGAGTCATCTTCAAAAGTCTCTGGAAGATCCGTGCACAAGTCTGCACACAGCGAAAGCTCAGGGAGTAACATCTCCTAATGACAAGTGACCAGACAATGACAGATGAAAATGAGAATTGTTCTGTGGCAGATTCCTACCTGCTTTCACAGTGTATGTGGTTCCCTGGCCCCAGGAAGAACTTTAGAAAGGTGTTTAAACAAATTGGTGCAAAGTGCACAGACTTCCTCCATTTAAGAGCTGTTTAGGGAACTTGCACAATTTCTGTGCCCAGCCCAGGCCTGAGAGCATGAGGAAGTACAGACAGGAAAGATGGGGTCTCTGCCCTGCAAACATCTTGAGTCGAAGGAGCTCCCTAGCTGGCACCAAGGCCTGAGTGCCTACAGGTGTTCTGGGAGTGAGGTGGGGACCCTGGCACGAGGATGACTGCCACTCACCTCATTGTTGAAGCAGAGGCTCTCAGATCCTGTGATTTTTATTTATTCATTTATTTTTTACTTGATTTGTGCTTTTGTCCGAGGATACCTATAATCCTGGGGCATGAAGGCACTGCCCATAAAAGCACATGCAGAAAAAACACATCTTTCTAGAGTGTCCATTTTAGTTGATGGCAGATGATTGAACATATTTTTATATCCAATTCAAAAAATGCCTTGCAACTGAATCAAACTTCAAAATCCACCCCTTCACAGGGAGGCTGTGCTTGCTGGAAACCACATATGAGGGATAACCCTCTCTTCCATTTCCCAGCATACCTTCAATGCAAAGGTAGGAAAGGAGTTTCCTGGTCTAGTTATTTACCAGCCCTCTGCTTCAGGCTCCTCTCCAAGGCCTCCTTATGAAAAGCTGGGGTGGGTGGGACCCCTCCAATATCCCAGTCTGCAGGGAATGGTACGCCCTGGACAGCACACACAGAAGTGGGTAGATCCCGTATGTTGCCACTATTTTTTATACATATCTATATCTTTTTAGTTGTAGTTGGACACAATACCTTTATTTTATTATTTTTGTGTGGTGCTGAAGATCGAACTCGGGGCCTCCCAAGTGCTAGGCAAGAGCTCTACCTCTGAGCCACAACCCTAGCATTTTAATTAAACAAATATCCTGGGCTGTTGAGTCAAATCTCAAATTATCAAATAGTGGCCAGTAGTTAAATTAATTAGTGATTCTAGCCAAGCTGTCCTCTCCCTTTCCAGCTGGTTTTGCCTCCTGCTCAGGAGGAGAAACTCCACTGACCTGACCCACCTGAGCACAGGGAATCCAAATCCCCCAATGAAAACATTTAGACTCTCCCAGTGCCTCCCACAGGAACAGAGACAACGCCCGAATCCAGGGACTTCCTCTTTAGCTAAGACTTTCAACATGGTGAGCTTGTGTGCTCCGTCATTCCAGGGAGGCCTGTCACCCACAGCTCTCCAGCCAGCCGGTGTCCCAAGGTCCAGCATGTTTGCACAATCCCACGTCTCACTGTTCTGGCTTCTACTGCCTTTTTGGAAAGTGCTGTTCAACAAACTCCCTCTGTTTACACAGGGATTCACCTTGGGGCCAGTGTGTGTGGCTGCAGGGCTGGGAGAGGGTCTGTGGGTGGCATGCGTCTCTGCTCCCCTCCCTCTCCTCACTGCTGGCATCTCACATGCCAGTGTGATGCAGCCCTGTCTGCACGGACCTCCTGGTCCAACCAGGGCGGTTCCTGTCACTGCTTCCTCTGTCAGAGCAGACAGACTAACTGAAGCCACAGCCGGAAGCAGGCTGACCACAAGCGCTGGGTTCTGGTTACTTCTTTTCTAGGTAAAGTTGGAAAAGTCCCTGCAAAGGCACACCCTGAAGTTTAGGACGTGGGGGTGGCACTGACCAGCCTCTCGAAACGTCCTTCACTGGAAGGAGGGAGGAGGAGGCTGGACTGTAATGGCACTCTGTTTGCCATTCTGAGAAGTTTTTTGTTTTTCCCCCTTTCCAGGTCCAACTGAGAGGCTATTCTAAGAAAGACTCCTGAGAATCCCTCACCTCCGTAGGCCAACTGGACAGGGGAACACTAATGGTTGTACGCTTTGTTCTTCTCTAGCCAGATGAGAGAATGAGGTGTTTTTGGGGGTGGGGGCTTGATGATGAAAGGGTCATGGAAGGAAGATGGTTTCTAGGAAAAGAGAGAAGTTGCTTCTTTACTCCTGAGAAGCCCCTCTGGGAAGATTCTAGAAGAAAGACTGTCTTTTCAACGGAGGTGGCAGCTGCATTTCTGCCTACCTTACAAACAGGAAGAGGGATAGGAATGACTGGAGGGGGGGGGTGGAAATAGGTTCAGTCTCCCCACTCAGAGGATCCCTGGGGGGCGGCTGAAGACAGGGCTGAACTTCACAAAGACAGGAATACAGAACACTGGGTACATTTAAAGCCCCTTTGGTGAGTTAGGATTGTTATTTCCACTGAAATAATTACCAGTTATCGCTCATTTTTCTAAGATCACAGTAAAAGAAAAAGCCACAATCTACCACTCTCAGTAACAAACTAGGGTTGATCTCTATGCTCAAAGAATAAAATTAATCCATGAAAAAATAGATCCCAGCTCTGGGCACATCAAGATAGTGAGGGGCGACTAGGTGAGGCATGGAGGCCTTTTCAGCACACTGTAACTATTCTGTGTGATGCCCTGATGGTGGGAACATGTCATCACACATTTGTAGCCTGTGTATCACCAAGAGTGAGACCGAATGAAAACCTCTAGATTTGCAGTGAGCTGTAATCCCAGAGACTGCAGGGGCTGGGGCAGGAGGATTGCAACTTGGAACTTCGGCCTCAGCAGGACCCTGTCTCAAAAAAAGACTAGGGATGTAGCTCACTGGTTGAACACCCCTAAGTTCAATCATCAGTACCAAAACAGTAAATAAAACAGTGCAGAATTCTGGCCTAGCAATGTATACCACAGGGATGTGAAATGTTAATAATCAGGGAAACGGGGTGGGGGGCGAGTAGAAAGAGAAGGAGGCATATGGGAAATCTGTACTTCCTTTTTCATCCTTCTGTTATTCTGAAAGTCTATTAAGAAAGGTTTCACACCTGGGGATTTTTTGTCTACCCCCAAATTCAGGTACCAGAAAGATAGGGATACTCTGTCACACAGTCCCTATATTTCTACAGCAGCCTGTGACAGGATAGGGATTAGTGCCTGAAATTTCTAGAAGCCAAGGGGAGTCTGAGGTGTGGTTCTTCCAAGTGTGTACCAGAGAGTTAAAGTGTCAGCTCATTTAGCTCCTGGGTTTTTGGTTTTGTTTTTTGAAAGCGATCACCAGCTACTGCACTGAGATCACAGGGCTGTGTCCCATAACCTGGAAAGCACTGTGCAAAAGCGTCAATCAATAATGTCCCCAGCCCATGGTCACAAAGCCAGCATCGAGGGAGCATTGCACTCCAGGTATGAACTCGAGTTTCAATGCTTCTCTTCTGTGCAGCTTCTATCTCTGGGCTTTCAGAGACCCCAATTTCTCTTTTACTAACTAAGCCCCAGAAAGGCTGTCCAGGGTGTTCACAAGGTGAGGTACAGTTCTGTTTTGAGCTCTGAATGACATTACCAAAACAGGCCACGTTATATAATCTTCAGTTAGGCACTAATGACCAATTACCCTTCCCAGACTCGGTTAATAGCTGTTCTTGGACGACAGAGAGTAACAAAGACAAGCTCCTGCCAGCAGGGAGAGCCACACCCACTTCTGATGAAATCCCCAGAAGAGCCAGCTGCAAAATCATTCTTTGAAGTCATTCTGGGGCCACAGGTGCACTATCCCCTGGGCAGTGAAAAGGCAGGGCTCACCACCTTTCGTGGCACAGCTGGGTCCTAGGCACCTGGGGCTGCCATGTAAGGAAACCAGAACTCACAGAGGAGGAGGTGGAGATGCCTAACAACAACCAGGCTGACTCGACCCTCCCTAGTCAGCGTCCCAGCTGGCCCTGGAGATTCCATTTGTGCAACTTCCCGGCCTTCTCAATTAACTAAGAAACTTACCAGAACATTCTCAGTGGTGAGATGGGGGATTTTAGCAATCTTCATTGGTTTTCTCCTATTCTTTTCTGGTTTCCATTAGTTTCTAATCTTGCTCTTATTAATTTGGTACAAAATACAGTTTTTAAGCCCACCTACACAGCTTTCTGAAGTTCTTTGCTCTTATTTCAGGGGAACGCACTTTGCTTATCTTTGTGTACCTTCAAAGATAAACCTGTCACGAGCCTCACTAACAAGTTGTTCCACAGGACAGAGCCTTGCATCTGATGGGTTCATAGATGGGACAACTCAGGACTGCAATGGTTTTACTCAAGGTCAGCCCTGCTGGACACACTGAGAAACAAGTGCTAGGCAGGTGTGATCTTGATCACCGTCCACAGGACTTCATAAGGAATCAAAGCAGCTGTCTGCTGCCCTGAGAGTGGTTTGCCAAGTAAGGCCATGCTATGCTATCTCCTAAGGGTGACAGAGATTATCCTCCAGGGACCATTTCTCCAAATCCCCCATTTCCTAATCTCCCCTGTGCATTCTGACCACAGTATTTACCAGGTCACCCAGGTCTACCTTCTCCTTCTGGATACCTTGTTCCAGTTACAAACCCTGAGGCCTGTGCTGCCCTCTGTGGTATTTCAGGAACTCTTGACTCAACTTTGAAAGTTGCATCATGGAATTTCAGAGCTCAAATGGGGACTACAGCCTCTTTGGTTCAACTTCCTCACTGGACCCATGGAAGCACGAAGGTCTATGTAAGGTGAAAGAAAGCTCAAGTCTGTCTGTCCTTCTCACGTTCCCAGGGGCATGCTAGGAGGCTTCATTTCAAAGAGATTCAGAATTCTGTAAAAATTCTATGTACTTGATAAAGACAGTGAAATTCAGAACATTTTCCCAGATGAAGTATTTTTATGGATGCAAACCTCTCAGTAGCAGAGGACCCTGCGGTCTAGCTCTGTCAAAGTCAATTTTAGAATAAAAAGGAAATGTAGGCAGTAAAAGTAGTTAGTTAGGATGTCTGGAATCTAAGGGGCCAGTGGGACAACTCCGAGTTTGCAGTAGAGGAAGCCTCAAGGTATGGAGGCAAAAAAAAAAAAACAAAAAAACGGCATTTTGAGAGTTATCAAACCTGCCAAGTTGAGGAAAGTGCATGTTGTGTATGCATTTACAGACAGACGCGGGCGTACCTGCGTTCCCACTCATATCCTTGGATGAAACAATCAATGGGGAGAAACCAATTCTTTTCTATTGCCAGACCTAACCCTTGCTGTGCACAGGCCCCTGACCAGTAACCTGGCCCTTTGTGCTCTGCCTTAATGCTTTGTGCTTCTGCTCCTGTCACGGTTATAAGCCGCATGTCAATGCCTGGGAGAGCTGGGGTCAGGTGCTAAGTGCTTCAGATAAAAAGAAAGGTATTCAGTGTGGAGAGTGAGGCGACTGCATCCCCTCTGGACTAGAGGGTAGGACATATTACGAGGCTGGGTGGGGACAGTTAAGCTCAGCAACTGCTCTGTGTAGCTGCCACCGGCAGGAACCCCAGCTCAAGTGAAGAGGGTGGGGCGAGGGCCTGGCTGGCGGGGAGGCAGCTCCAAGGATGCTGACATGCTCTTTCCAGCCACAGTGAAGCGGATGCCAAGTTGCTCTCCATCTCTCTCTCCTGTGATAGTCCTGCACTGCTGTGGTGTCAGCTAACTCCAGCAGGCATTCTGAGAATCGTATTTAGAGGGCGGCACAGGGGGCCACACATGGCTCTCGGAGCCCAGATGACATTTCAACCAAGGCTCATGGCCTCCTAGGTTAGTAACGAAGCTGTTGATACAGCACTTGCCAACACCCAAACATCCAGATTCACAGCCCCAGAACTAAACACCTGCCCCCCCCCAGCATCCTCACTAGAATTCTAGAATAAAAGTCCAAAACCCCTTCATCTGCATGAAGCAAAGGAGTCAGCGTCACATTACCAACTGCCATGACCTGCCTGCCTGACAAAGCACAGAGGAGGTGCCACCCGGGGCATGGGAACGTCTAGAGAGTGAGGCACATGGCCTGCAGGGCTCGCCCTCCTCTCCCCTGAACGTTACACCATCTGGCAGGGACCCTGATTTCTAACTTCCTTGAACTGAGACCCCTCAGGACGGTGGTGCCAAGTTTCATGTTCCCTTCCTGACAGTGGCCACCACTGTCGCCAACCTTTCCCTCTGACATCCAGGGCCCCACTCCCATCTCATCACGATCCATGAACTCTGAGTCTCTTTTCCCCCCCTGTGGGTCTCCTGGACTACCCCTCTCGGCAAAGCCATGTCCCCACCGTGCATAGTGCCAGCCTGCAGATTTTTACAGCACCAGGCTCCCTCTCGGGTCACGAAAAGGGCAAGACTTTGGCCAGTTCTGCTTTCAAACAGAAAGGAGTGTCGTGTAGGTGCTCAGTTCCCATTTTGATCCCCTGCCCTTGTTAATGCACTGTCTTCTCATCAGATAAACACGGTGCCAGGGCCAGCTGTCCCACTGCATCCTCACAGATGTTCAGCGGCACTTAATTTGCTAAAAGAATTTAGTTGCTTGGAAAACTGACCCAGGAGATGTTTTGAGGCATAAAGACTCACATATTGCTTTTCTCATGCCAACTGTGCCAGGCTTTTAGGAAAGTTCTTTTCTAGGAATGCTGGCTCCTTTCTGCCATGCCTGAGCACCCCACGACCTGACAAAAGACGGAGTAGGGAACCCTCTGCCACTGTGAGAAAGTCGGCCCTGGGATTAAAGGCTGACGGACCAGACGCTGTTTAGTGACTAGAGAGACCTGCTCACGGGGATGAGTCACCTGGGTGTGGAGCTCGTCTGGTTGTGGTTCTGGTGAGTCGTCTTTCCCTGGGACTCAGACACCACTCTGCCCTCCAGATCTGGCCACCAGAAGACAAATATTCCCTGTCTCAAGATGAAGTGAGGCAGTGGAGTTTATGATAATTTAACCAGTCAAAATTCTCATATATTCTAGATCCATCTGTGGCAAGAGCCACACGCTCCCCTTTCCGCCGACTCTGTCCTTCAACAACCCCTCTGGTGCTTGATTGAGGTGGTCGCCCGAGGAGCTGTGCAGGGGGAGTGGCTCGGAGAATGAAACCAGTCCAACTAGAAGCTCCTGTGGAGTCAGCCAGCATCCCCAGGAGATCCTCTTTCACACCCTCCTCCCTCTCCCCACAGGGCCTTTTCTGCTTCTTTAGAGGCTAATTGAGCCCCAACAGTCTGGGAGTTAGGCCAGACTGGGTCAGAAAAACCAAGTGCAGCCAGGCAACCAATGCCACAGGCTGTTGACACACAGGGCCCTGTGTGCAGGTATAGGGGTGGTCCCGCCTGCAGGCACACGGGGATGTGTGGGTCTGCACACCTCAGGACTGAGTTCTGAGTCCAGCTCTGATCCAGCTGAGTGGCCCTAGAGAAAGAAGCTGCCCAGCCAACCTTCTGGAACTTGAAGTTCCCATCTGAAAAGTGGCCGTAGTGCCACCTGCTACATCAAGGGGAGGATTACACAAGATCTTACATTATCTATTTTGCACATGAAGATTAAAGATGACCTGTTAGTGGGCTGGGGACATTGTGCAGTGGTAGATCCCAGGATGCACTAGGTGCTTGGTCCCCAGTGCAGCAAAATACAAAAATAAAACCCTATCATCTGTTGTTATCCAATCAGCCCTAGCAGTAGCAAAGCAGAGCCGGCTCTCCCAGCAGCCGCAGGGTTCCCAGCCACTCATGGCGAGGTGGCTTCTCCCCAGTGGTCTTACTGCCCTTATTCGTGGTGATTGAACATGCCCTCCTGGATAGCAGTGGCCACAGCAGCCCAAGATACCAGCAAAGGAACAATACTCTGTCTCTAATGCAATTTCCTCAAAAACATGACTGAAAGAATAAGATGTGTTACTGAGGGAGGAATCCCAAGATACAGAAGTCTCCTTTTTCAATCAGTTTGCTTTTCTTTAAATTATCCTCTAAAAGCCAAGTGGGTAGTCTTCCAGCATCTGACTTAGTAGGAAAAAGGGACTGCTCCCTCTTTCCTGGGAATCATGTTCTTTTTCCTATAAAACTGCCATTTGTGCAGAATTTCAACACTCTTGGGCAAAGTAGTCATAACGAATTTCTCATCCAATAGCACAGCCTTCCCAATGACCATCTGCAGATTGACCAGCACAAATTCTGTTCTACTGGCACAAAAGGTACTAAAATAATAGGAAAAAGGGGGTGTGTCACCTAAATAATCATGAACGTTTATTTATTAAGATAAGGCACCACCCAAACTCTACGATAGCATCAAAATCCACCTTCCCCTGTGAAAGGGGAACTTGGCAGTCTTCTCTTTCTCTGGCTGGCCAGGGGTTGTGTGAGGTCACTCCACAGGCCGTCTCCTCCTGAGTGGTGCTGTAAGAAACAGTGGAGGAGCCTGAGCCTGAGCCGGCCTGGCCTTGGAATCACAGCAACACCTGCCATCAGGTGCTTAAGTCAAGGGACAAGTCTACCAGTGAACCAGGTGGCACCTCACAGCACACCCCAAGAACCTGAGACCACTTCTCCAATCAAGTACAGCTCAGATGCCCGGCAGGGAAAGCACAAAGAGACCACCAGACACAAGGACAGAATCCGTAGGTCTCCTTCTTGGGGTCCAAGAGGAAAGTGACATTGGCAACCATGCCCTGCCTCACAGTTCAGGGACAGTTAGAGGAAGACACGGGTTTTCATGGGAGCAGGTTCTGAGAGACAGATGCCCATTCTGATCTCTGTGAGTAACAGCTGACCAAGGTGTGTCTCACAGTCCTGGAACTACAGGAAACGAAGCTTCTGGTACCTCTTCTGTCACCCACGGCCCTCTGCTTCCATGATCTGAGGCCTCCCTCATGAGTGCCCACCACCCACCAGGTTCTGATGGTTCATCTCACTGCCACCCTCAACAGATGTGGAGAGATCAACCCTGATTTATAGACGGGAAGCTCAGGTCAGTACTGTCCCCTGACTGGCCCAAGTTTACATGGCTAAGGACCAGTAGGACTGAAACTGAAAGCTTGGACCTCCTGCCTCCAGTTCCTGGGGAGGGAGAAGTTGGTCATGTCCATCAGTCTAGCCCTGGTTTGGTCAGGGACATTCCCATCTTCAATCAAACAGAAGAGGAGATGATGGGAAGAAGACAACATTCCATCTCCTATTTCTGGGTAGCTACCACAAGGTTCTTAACTAAGACACAGGTCCTCCTTTCCCTCCCTCCAGGGATGGCATGAAATACCCTCTTTGCAGCTGTAGCGAGCAGCAATCCTGCCCCTGACTAGGAGTTAGTGAGGGTGACCCATGTGACCTGGCCAGCCTGTCTGTTTTGACACAGCCAGACAGTGAGCAAAGGAGGAAGTGCACCTTGGGACCTGGGTCTAGGCTGGGGGGGCAACGCTCAGGACACTGCCGTCCTCTCCTCCCCTTCCATCTGTGGTTAGTCATCAGTTATGCCCCTAGAGCCAGCCTGGGTTTCCCAGAACTCATCTCAACATAGCACTCTGGGCAGACTCTACCAGATGGATGAAACCTATCTGCCAATCCTGATGCTACTGTCTGCAAGGGGCTGTTCTGAGGGCACTGGGACCTCCCACGCAGTGACTGCCCCAGGCCCTGGCAGCTGGCCTCTGGCAGAACTGAACTTCCCTGCCTCTCACATTAGGCAAAGGGTGGCTTTCCTGAGGGCCACATACTCCAAAAGGACCTGTCTCAAAGATTTGTTTTGGGACACGAGGCCAGCAGAAGGGTGGCACCCCCCCCCCTTTTTCTTTCCTCTGCCCTCAGTGATGGTGAGCTGTCCCTTCTCTCCGATCCAGGAGGCACTCCTGGCAGGCTTGAGGGTGGCTCTAGGAATAATAGATCACTTGATTTTTTTTTTTTTCTTCCCAGGACCAGTGCAGAGCAGGCATACTTCCTCAGAGAGAGGCTCCTGGGGACTTCAGGGTGTGACTGAGTCGGGTCCACCAGGGGGCAGGCAGCCTGCTCCACTGCAGCTCTGAGGGCCCCAGGACTCCCGACCCTGCCAAACAATTCAACGAAGCACCTTAGTTCCTACCTTCATTTGTCTAATGCCCTTTTGGATTCATGTGGCATCAAGGTCAGACACCACTGAAATCAGTGCTGCCCTGAGCGGCACTTCCTGTCGGCTGGTGGTTCCAATACTGACTGTGCCATCGCTTAGCACACAAAACACCTGGCTGCTCAGCAGCTTTGACATTCACATATAAGAATTCCTTGATGCCACAGATCCTGAGGCTTTCTAACAGGACGTCTCATACAATCAAAGAATAGTGCTGGCAGAGCAGTGCTCCCAAGACCCAGAGCCTCAGAGCATCCTGTGCAGAAGGCGCGGGTGGCAGGCAGGGTTACCCTGGCTCTTAATCCTCATCAAGTGACTGCTCACAAGACTCATTTAAGTCTGCACAATTCAGACAGAAGCTCACAAGGGCACGAGAGTTTCCTGTGACTGTAAAGTAAGGTGATTAACAGAAAGCATCAGTACTGGTCCTGGAGAGATTTTTTTTTTCCTTCGGTAGCAGGGACTGAACCTGGGGTGCTCTACCACTGAGCCACAACCTCAGCCCCTTTAGAGATGGGGTCTTGATAAGTTGTTTAGGGCCTCACTAACTTGCTGAGTCTGGCCTTGAATTGCACCACCCCACCCAGCACCAGAGAGATTTTTAAAACACGGGGCACATTCAGACACAGACAGAAGGTGACAGAGTAAGGAGAGAAAAGAGACAAGAGTAGCTTTTCCATGCAGGTGCACAGATTGGTGTTGGGCTGAGGACATGGTTTGATTTGCCAGTGTCACCAAGTAGAGGAGGAAAAAGCACCTGAGGGCATCTCAGATAAAGTCTCCTATGGAGGTGGCACCGGCTCCCCTCCACAGTCCCAACATCCCAACATACCCTCCGGCTGTCTCCCACAACACAGACCTCAAGTGTCTTCTCTGAATCCTGGCTCAGGACCTTTGGGGCAGTTAACACTCAAGTCACCTACCCACTTCCAGGCTTTCATGTGTAAAAGGAGACACCATACCCTTGTCCTCGGATGTTTCTCTCCCCTTCCTTCTCTTGGTTCATTTTTTCCTCCTCCTCTTTTTCAAGTCATCTTTGCTGTGACCCCTCATCCCTTTCTCCTCAACCCCAAAGTCTCCTGCTCCGCGCTGCCCACTTGGGGTCATCTTAATAACTGAATACAACGCAGGAAGTAAAAGAACCAGGCACGTGGAAGCAGGCACACGACGAGGTATGCTTCCCTTCACCATCCAGGCTGGACCAGGACGCGTCCTGCCTCTTCTGTGGGCTTCAGAGCCCCCCAGGGAGGTGGATGGAAATGGCCAAGCCCTGGCACTGATTGCCTAGTCACAACTGGAGTTTTAGTGAGATCGCAGGTGATTCATATGTACAAGGAACTGGACCCTGAAGACCTCAAGGGTACGGACAGCACAGGACTCCTACATTGTGGACACCCTCAGAAAGCCCTCCAGAACCTGGGGGTGCCAGCCATACTACCAAGTGACTGCTGCCTGCACCACACACACCAGTGGTGCTCACAACCCCTGAGCTGCATGCCGCATTGTGACAAGACAAGCTTCACAGTACATTGTACACGAGAAGCTCAGTTCCGGGTGGTTCGCTAGTCCTTGGGATAGGAAGGAAGGCAGTGGGACGGCAGTCCCCCTCCCCCGCAACAGAGAGCGAGTGCACAGACCCCTGACTTCACAGCTCTGCTGCCTCACGTCACCACACACCCCTGCACATTGTAATGACTTTGGAAAGCACAGGTCTGAAAGCACAGCTGGCCTGGGACCCCCACAGCACGCATCTGGTGCTACCACCAAGCTCTGTGGGCAAGAGCTCTCAAGCCCTGCAGCAGCCTGCCTTCTTCCTGGGATGCAGTGGCCCATGTCCCATCAGCAAGAAGATTGAGTGGGACGCAGATTACTCCAGCCTGTGTCCCTGCCTGCTGAAGAACAGCGCTGAGCCCACGGTCTGGCCAACTGTGCCCCACTGCACCAAGTGAGTGTTTTGCTTTTATGATGTCTTGATGTCTCGGGGAAGCCAGGTCTTATGGAGGGGCAGGGCATTACCAAGAGGAGGGCCGCCTTAACAGAGGTGGAGAGTTGGGCCTGGCCCCAGCCCTAGCCCCACAGAAATGGTCCTGTGCTGACGTCTCTGAGCCTCAGCATCTCCTCTCTGGATGTGGGCTGAGAGCCATCTTCTAGGGGGGCACCCGGCCTCCGTGGTGAGAAGGGCTCAGTCAACAGCTGTATGAGCCTCTGCTGCACAGCTCACCCTCAGGCTGCCTCCCATGTGGTCGGCTTACCTTGATCATCTCTGCCACATAGCTCTCGGGCCCAGTGTACTCGGTGGAGTCCTTCACCTTGACCAGCACGATGAAGCACAGATAGTGCCACATGTTGTGCTCTTCCTTGATGTGCTCCTCAAAGGTGACCGTCTTGTTGTCAAACTTGTCTCTCTCCAGGCCTAGAAGAGACACAGGAAAACCCACTGAGCAACTTTGAAAAATCCATAGTCTCATGCCAACCTTTACAACACATTCACTTTATGATGGGAAAACACAGGCGGTGAGGTCTGACCCAGCTGGGCATGAATCCCACCTCTGATGCTCAATCTCTTCAATGGGCCTTGGTTGCTTTGTCAGCAAAGGGGAAGAAGACTGCCATCTAGGTTCCAGGGGTGTTCAGGGTTGAATGAGAACGTGTGAGGTGCTCCTGCCTGCACAGGCAACCAGGTAAATACCAAGGTACAGACACTTTACAAGATTTTGGAGGTCAGGGACCTTGGCACATGCCTGTAATCCCAGTGATTCAGGAGGCTAAAGATCACAAGTTCAAGACCATCCTCAGCAAGAAATAAAAGGACTGGGGAGGTGGCTCAGTGGTAGAGCACTGAGAGGTTCATTCCCCAGTACCAAAACAAAAACCCCAAATATACCAAGAATAAGAAAATTATCCTTCAGTCACCATTGTGATAACAGATTCAGACAGGAATCATCAGCGATGCCAAAACTAGTGGTTGAAAGTTTCCTTTAAGAAATAAGAGGATATTTACTAGTGTCAAAGTATCTCCCCATAAAGATAAGCTTCATAGTGGAGAGAACTTGGCAGTTACCATGTTAACCAGGTGATCAAAGTGAACAACACCAGCTATGAGACGAACCCGTGTCATATGTTCCTGGTATGACACGCTGACAAGAACACATCTTTGATATTCCTGTAAAAAATGTATAATCTTGACTCTACCATCAGGAAGCACTAGAGAGACCCAAATCAAAAAATGCCAAAGGAGGCACAAGAAAACAGGGCGACCACATGCTACCCATGACCTGGGTCTTAGAAGGGTGAAATTCGAAGAGGGTCTACAGACTAGATGATAGTTTTAAATCTGTTTTGATTTCCCTATTTTGGTAATTATATTGTAGATAGGAGAATGTTCTAGTTGTTAGGAAATATGTAACTGAGACATTTGGGAATAAGAGGACATGTGTCAGCCACAGACACTCACATGGTTCAGAAAAATAGTGTGTGTGAAGCAAATGAGAAACAATAAGATCTGGAGGATCTGGGTGAAGAGTATTTAGAAATTCTTTGCACTAGTCTTATGACTTTTCCATAACAAATTATGTCAAAGAAAAGCTTTAAAAAAGTTTTAAGTGGGGGCAAAAAACAAGAACTAAAAAAATCCTTTCAAAAAGAAATTTAAATCTTTAAAGGGGAAATACTCATTTGGCTTTTTTTTTGTTTTGTTTTTAGTGTCCCTACTAGGGAACAATATACGTATTTTATAACTATATTATGAATAATCCTGCAGTGATTACTCAGTTCCTATGTTTATAGGATTAGTTTTCATTTGCATATATTTTCCTGTTATACCAAAAATGATTTTTTTCAGTAGCCAAAGCCCTCTGTGTGCACAGCTCGATACCTGGCCTCGGATGCCTAAGCCAGGGTCTGTGCCAGGTGCTCACCTGAGCGCTCTCCCACTCAGTAATGCAAGCAGCACACATGGCTGCACCCATATCACAGACAAGGAGAACAGGCTCAGAGCAGCTCAGTGATTGCTTCATGCTGGTGAGTGGCAGATGTTTAATCAGAGTGTAGGTCTGGGGCCCGAGCCCTAAACTCTTCCACACACAGTCTGATTCCAACAGCAGTGAAGATGTCTGCGGGCTGGAGGGGACACAGGATCTCCCTTCTAGTTCACTATGATGGAAGCTCAGGCAGCCCTACCCTAAAAGACCCTGAGATGCTTTTATTTAAATAATGTGCAGTCAGGTTTCTGCTTCCAAGAACTTCATTCCTAAAGATAAAGGAGCAATGGCTGCATAGAATTTGTAGGCACTCTGAATACTTCCCAGAACAGAGGTGGGAACATAGTCATTGTCACTGTCCCACAGAGCACCCAGCACAGCCCACCATGACCCCACCTGGCTGTCCAGAGCCCAGGAGGCCACTCACCACAGATGAAGCATGTGGTCTTTAAGATCTCTTCTTTCTTCTGCTTCTCACTTCTCAGGTCAGCAAACGTGTCAATGATGACACCAAAAATAAGGTTCAGGACGATGATGATGACCATAAAGAAGAACAAGAGGTCATAGATCACTCTTGCAGCAAAGAGAGGTTCCTGGAGAAGAGAGGCAAGGCAGTTAGGTGCTTCCCTCACTGTCCCCTGCAGGGCTTGGGGCCCAGCACCAACTGGAGTGGAGGTTAAACTGTCTCTTTTCCTACCCTGGGTCTGTCTACACTGTGATTTCTCCAGGTATTGTCTGGTACACCCAGGAGGGTTCTGGAAATGTCTCCTTTAGGCCAGACTCGAGCCTGAAGGAGACAACCATTAATTCTAGGGAATGGGGCAACGTGGGGGGCCCTTCCCACGCAGCGTGGCCCCAACATGAGAAAAGAAGGAGGGAGCAGGGAAGCCTTGCCTAGCTACTTCTGCAATGGCTGCTTCCCCTCTTCCCAGCTCTTCCTCTGTGCCTTCAGTTTACACCACCACCTGCCCCCACACGCCCCCTCTGCCCTTCCTTCCCCTGGGGATACACCTACCTCTTTGGATGGCTTCCTGAGCACATCTCCTACTCCGCCCCCACTCCGCAGCCCATGACTCAGGACAGTGACAATGCACATCAGCAGCGTCTCGCACGTGTGCTCCTTATCCTGTTCCGTTTCTTCCACAGGGACTAGCTCTGTCAGTGGGGCAAGTCATGACAGTTAAAACATGAGGGGAACAGCGGTACTGTGATTCTGAAATGACGCTCCCAAATGTCGTCTGAGCAGCCAGCAGGTGCCAGAAAGAATCAAGAGTCAAAGACCTGTTTTACAAAGGGGGCCACTCTGTTCTCACCCCTTAACCCCCTGCTAACTTCTCAAGCCAGGTCAGGATGGCCCTCCCTCTATGTCCTGCCTATGAACAGAGAAGTCTTTTGAGGTCTGGTAAGTTGTTTACCACTCTGGGTTACAGGCATCTTGCTTCTCAGATGAGGGTCTGTCACAGGATCCAGGTTTCCCTGTTATGGTCAACATGTGAGGTGTCCCAACTGAAGCTCAGGTATGGCACAATGCAAGAAGGTTCAGAGGTGAAACAACTGGTATGAGAGCCTTAACATAACCAGTGCATTAATCCCACTAGGGATTACCTGGGTGGCAACTGTAGGTGGATGGGGTGTGGCTGGAGGAGGTGGGTCCTTGCGGGGGTGCCTTCAGGGTTTATATTCTGTATCTGGTGAATGGAGCAGCTCTCCCTCCTTCCTGGTGCCATGTCCTGAGCTGCTTTCCTCCACCATGCCCTTCCGCCTTGCCTCACCTCAGTCCAGAGCTATGGAGTTGGCTGTCTGTGGACTGAGACCATGAGCCAAAATAAACTTCCTCTCCTCTGCATTGTTCTTGTAAGGTCCTTTGGTCACAGTAAAACATGGGAATGCTGTGGGCAGGGCTTAGTGAGATTGCACAGCAGGTCCACTGGCTTTACCCTGGGTTGTTCTCTCTCACTGTTTATGGAGAATGCTGCCCACCTCGTCCCCTTCTCCAGCTGCACCGAGGACGGTCTTGTTAAAACACAGACCTCATCTCCTCTTGCCCCTTTCAGCAACTCCCAGCCCAGCTAGACCCTTCCTAACCTGGCCCTTTGCTTCTGTTGTTGCTTGCTGCTCTTGTTCTGCATAATCATCTCCCCAAGTTTGCTGGATTCCACCATTACGCCTTTCCATACCCTACGCCCGCCACCAGGAACACTTGTCCCTCTCTGCTCAAGAGTCCCCTATTTTAGTAGATGACACTGGTCCTGATGGTGTGAGTGTGGGGGCCTGTCTTCTGTATTCTGTCCTGACTCCCAGCACTTGGCATTCTCTCTAGTGATCCCTATTGACATGTTCCCCCTACTCCTCTGCCGGCTCTCAGAACAACACAGGGCAGGAAGATAGTGGGTGCTCGGATCAGGTGAGCACGGGCCTGCCTTCCCCTTGAGCCCCCTACAGCTGTCACCAGCCTTCCTCTGGGCAGCATGTTTACTGCACTCTGCCTCCAAAATCACCCTCATCGTCTTGGCATCCGAGATTCACATGGGGCCCTACCTTGCTTGGGTCCAGGAGAGGAACAGTTCTCCCCCGTCTCCACCCTGCACACATCAGAGTACAGAAACTCGCCTGCCAAACTCTCGCCGGTTTCTGGGAAAGAGAAGGAAATTTCATGATGAAAAATCTGGCAGCATACAGTTAAAATGTTTGAAGTCCCCAATTCACGGCTGATTAAACAATTCTTTACATAAATAACACCCTTCAGTCCTGCATATAAATTCAAAGCAAGAGATGCGATTTACACTTTCATTTGGTGATCTGGATGGGAAAAAAGCCAAAAATGTCAATTCCTGTAGGCTTACTAGAAATATCGCACTTAAATAGCACCTCTCCGACTTTAAAGACAAACAGCTGAGACTTTCAGACAAACACTACAGTATGTACAGACTCCAGCAAGATTTAGACCAAGACTGCAGGGGAAGTTTCAGTGGGTACCAATGGAGAGCCAAGGTCCAGCCCAGGTTGGTTCAGAACCCGGAGATGGCCAACAGTAAGTGCCACGAAATGTCAACTGGAGGCTGAATGACATGCCAAAAAAAACTTCTGGAAGGGAGGAAACCAGGCTCCTGCCTTCGCGGGCCACCGTCAGTTTGTTCCTGAGATCAAGGAGCTTGATCCAACGCCTGTCATACTTCACTAACCAGTGGCAGCTCTGTTAAGAGGGAGAAGAGAGCACTCAGGCACCGAGTACTGTTCCTCTCTCAAAACTGGAAACCTCTTCTGTCTTTGCTATACATAAAAATAACATCAGCTCGCTATAAAACCTGCATACAATTAAAAAAAAAAAGCCCCAGGATAGCCACTGCTAGCAATCTGATAGTATATCTGTCTACATTTTAAAAGATACATATAAATTTTTTAACTTAAAGAAAAAAAAAAAAGGCTAGGCATGGTGGTACAATCCTGTAATCCCAGTGACTCAGGAGACTGAGGCTGGAGGATTGCAAGCTTGAGACCAGCCTCAGCAACATAGACCCTGTCTCAAAATAAAAACTAAAAAGGGCTGGGATGTGGCTCAGTGCAGGGGTAAAGTGCCTCTGGCTTCAATCTCCAGTACCAAAAAAGAAAAGAAAAAGTCCTACTCTTGTTATCCCATAATTTCTCATGGTATCTTCTGTGATATTTTTCTAAGATGCCTTATAAAAATGGACCCTTGGTGCAGGAGACTCCACCCAGTGGATGGGCCATAATCTAAGAAAACGCCCCCTGACACTTAGGTTGTTTCCAGTTTCGCACTGCAGAGAACCTTCTCCCAGGTTTTCACATGCACCGTCAGCAGGGGTTTTCCTTAGTAAACCTACTTCTGAGAATTTAGCCTAAGTCAAGAGGCTGCACATCTCGATACTTTCAACATACATGCTCCAACTGCTTTATGGAAAAAGCTGTGCTGGTTTAAAACAGGACGTTAGTGAGCGATCGTAACGTCTGGTCACTTGCCCTCAGCATGTGACACACAACATCCCCCTTCCGGCAAAGGGAGAACCAAGTTCTGTATTCATGACTCACACTCTGGGCATTAGAGAGGCCTACGATGCCAATGGCACTGTTCTCTAGCTGAGCTATAACCAGGACATATCCTTGTAATGATAAAGAGAGAAGATCCCAGACCTACCTGGAACAGCTGTTTCATTGGGCAATCTGTCTACTTCCAAGATAAAATCATCCTTGAAGAAAAGATAGCCCACGATCGAGAACAGGTAAACCAGGATCAGAGCCAGAACCGCAGTCAGGATGATGGACCGTCCATTGCGGGTGACGCTTTTAATGACATTAAGCAAAGTCTCTTCTCTGTACACTAAATCGAACAGCTTCAAAAACACAGAGATGGCACGTCAATTTTTAAGAAGCCTCTATATTACACACACATCACTACCCCATGGTGAAAGCAAGGCTTACAGACCATTTACCCTCTTGGACACTGAAAAGCATTATTTTAAACATTCCACATCTTTTTTTAGATGGGCATAATACCTTTGTTTATTTATTTATTTATTTACGTGGTGCTGGGGATCGAACCCAGTGCCTCACATGTGTTAGGCAAGTGCTCCACCACTAAGTTACAACTTCAGCCCAACATTTCACATCTTGCCTATTTTCACAGCAAGAACTGAGATGGTTTTAAAAAAAAAAAAAGAAGAGGAAAAATAAGCATGCAAGAGGGGCGAGGACGTAGGAACAATTTCCAGCACACATGGAGCAGGCTAGGGGTCCTGGAAATCCAGCACGTATGATGCAGAGAGTAAAGGGATACATTTATTCAGGCCATAATTACTGCTTCAGCCAGCGTGGTCCCGGCCTTCCGGAAGCTGAGTGTCTGCTGGGGAAGGCAGACATCATACAAGCTACTGCAAGCAGTGAGGACCTTGGGCTTCCATAATAGGTTTGGATCTTAGCTCCTCACTGCCATTTTGGGCTAGATACTGTCCCCGTCCCCTTTGCAGAGCAGAGGATGCAGTTTACAGACAGTAAACAGGCAATGTGTATCCAGGGCTCAGCATTCATGCCAAGTAAGACAATACATGGTAATTATCAGTTTCCTGAAGAAGAGACTGGGGCAAGGTCACATAATCAGTAGACGGCGGGGACAGGACAGTCATGGTATTGACCTACCAGGAGGCCTCAGCCCTTCTGTCCTCCCCAGGGTGGGGGAGACCCCTGCAGTTTACAGTCTGGGCCTGGCCTTTGCCAAGGGAGCTACTGTTTGCAGGATCCTGTTGGACCATGGAGGTCTGAGAGGCCCTGGCTAGATTTCCAAGAGCTGTGCTATAGTTCTGCAGCAGGGGAATAATGGGGAGTTACAGGAGGAGAGCTCTATGGGGTTGCTCTTAGACATGAAATCTAGTGTGTTATATGGTTATTATTTTTAGTTTTAAATTCTGGGTTTCCCTTTGTTGCCCTCAGCATGTGACACCCAACATCCCCCTTCAAATTTGTGATCCTCCTGCCCCAGCCTCCTAGATATCTGGGATCATAGGTGTGCACCATCGGGCCTGGCTGGAGTCTAGTTTTCAGCACAGCCTCTGAGCTGACGCTGAAACCTCTCTCAAAGGTCCAGCCTTTGCCACAGTTGTTGGTCACCATGAAGCCATTCAGCGGAAAGGGTCTGGCTCCCGACTCTGCTTCCCCTTTGTTACGAGATGTTGATCAAGCCATCTAGCGTCTCTGGACCTCGGTTTCCCACCTGTAAAAATACGTGGACTGAACTAACTGATCTCCGAGTCCCTTCCAATTTAGAATTGTATCATCTGAGGTCATTTTATGGTCAATTAGCCTTTCTGCTGCTCTAACACCAATCTGTGCTCTAAATACTAGTTCTGCCAAGAGAACCGGGCAAAGTTGGGTCCTTAAAAAGAAGCGAGGAAGATGCACTTAGTCAATAGGAGGGAACAAAAGGCTGAGTGTTACTGTTAATGCTGGTTAAATATTTTCTAGCAACTCAATCCTAAGAGGCCAGTAAAAACACCGTCACACCATAACAAAAGAGACTTGTTTTCCGTGGTCAAAAGCAATAGCAATTACACAGCTCCCAATCACAGAAAGGACAAGTGACTTTTCAACCTTCCCCCCCTTTTTAACTTTTTGAATTTCTGATTTTAAAACAATGAACATTTACTATTTATACAAAGGAGAACCTGATTACCTTCACTTGCCAAGTTACTTCCTGCTCATATTTTAAAAAATATAATAGATGCATATTTTTTTTAGAAAAATATTATACCATATTATTTTTGGTACATAGCCAAAATCCCTTATGCCCAGCAGTAATGAGCATTTTCATGTCAAAAATGATCTCCTAGTATTTGTATGAAAAAAAAACCACAAAATAACCAGTATCTTTTTTTTTTTTTAAGTCGTCAATATTTTTAAAATTATGTGCTGTTGTAAACAATGCTGTATATGCCTCTATACACACTTGTCTATTTCTCTTTGGTTCATTTCCAGAAATGGAAACTTGGAGTCACATGTTCTAACATAAGTACATTGCCTACCACCGTCCAGGCAGGCAGGATCCATGCATACTCACACCAGCAAAGAATCATCCCCATGTCATCCCCAGCGTCACCAGTACTAACCACGATAGTGTTTTTTAACTTCCCCTGACAGACATCACAGGTAAGATCTGTGGTGGGACCTGCAGTCATTTTAACCATCATGTCTTGGTTTAGCAGTAAAGATGGACGTCTTCCTGTGTTTGCTGCCCATCTGGACTGCTCCTCTGGCTAATTACCTACTTATGAACTTTGTACATTTCTTCTTGGATGTTAATATTGTTCTAAGGACTTAGCTTGAATGGAGGCCCAAGGTAACAATCAGACAGTCTCTTGGGTTCTCCTGGCACTTTATTTGGCCACCGGATTCCCCTCCCTTCCAGTCTGCTAGGTTTTCTATGCTGCAGGTCTCTCTCCCTTTACAGAAGCCCAGTTTCTGTGGGTGCCTGGCTTTCCTTATTTGGGGAATCATTTGAACAGTTCCACTCTTCTGTCTGTGGTTCTTACCAGGTATGTCCACCAGGTCTGATTTCAACACCAAAAGGGACAGACATATCACTTGAGGCCACTGACACGTCAAGGTTCAGAGGGCTTAGAAAGGTCCCAGAAGCACACAGAGAGCCATCTGTCACCATCTAGACCAACCAAATTCCATTTTTCTAAAGGTGAACTGAGCTCAGGCAATACGGTCTCAAGCTCAAGTTTCTCTGTAACTTTGTGTGACAAGTGAGATTTGATAACATGAATGCAAAATGGAACACGAAATTCCAGTTTCACAGAGGCAGGGACCTTTTCACATGTTCCAAATGAAAGGGGAATAGACTTGGGGATCTACAGTGTTGAGGTGCCATCCTGTGTCTGCCACTGACTGACTGGGTGACAAAATCCACCTGATCTTGCCAAGCCTCAATTTCTTTTCTCCTATATTTTAAAATTGGTTCATTTGGGTTTTACGTACTGGTGGGATTTGTATTTATATATCCATACATGCACACAGTATAATGATACGATTTGACCAACATCATTCCCCAGAATTTCCTAAAGGGGATGTCTTGCCTCTTGGGAGAGACCCCTTAGCAGGGACATGAGAGACGACCAGCTGTGCTCCTGCCACTGGCAGGCAGGACAGGATGATTTTTGGATTGGCAGATGTGGGTCTCCTTGACACACAAGCTGAATCTCCCTCCAGGAACATTATTGCATGATACAAAAAGGCTCTAAATATTTTTGATACAGACCAGGTAATGGCAATAACAAGGGCAGTCCAAGACCTCTTTGCCCAAAACCTGATCACAGCCAGACCTGTTTTAAAATGAGAAAAAAAGGATCCATTCCATTTAGCCCACCAACATCCATCACTAATGGAGTAAGCTAATCCTGGCGAACTCTTCATGGCGCGGTGGATGGGAATGGGATAGAGCCATCTGTGGCTAGTGACCCTCAGGCTATGCTGTTCTATGACATGGACATGAACAGTGGCACATAATTCCTGCCAAGGTCCTGTGGGATGTATGCTTCTCACACCTAGGTGGGGAATCTGAGGCACAGAGTCCCATGGGTAGCACCTCCCTGCAGAACTTTCCTTCTGTTCATCAGTACGAGGCCTTGATCATTTTTATATACATGTTCCTAGTCCTGGTGTGTATAATAGTCATTTTACAGTTTCTGTCATGTGAGACAGGCCCAGGAGATGGTTCTCTTCCCCAATTCTACAGATCTAGGTTTCTCTTAACTACACGACAGGAAGCAGTTATGTGATCTGTAATTTTAAAAAAACCTGCTCAGAAGAAAGGAGATAGAACCACTCACGTGATAGACCTTAACCACGTGGTGCAGTTGGAACAAAAAGAACTTCTACTGAAAATATCTCCTGGGCCTTGGCAAGTCATTCCTACTCTTATGGTCACTGCATAGTTCATTGAGAAATGGATCCCACAAAGACTGCACAGGACAGGCTCATGAATATTGTCCTCAGTAGGTGCTGGCTCATCCTGAGAAACCAAGATGTATGTTGAGGGGACAGCTCCTGAATCAGACAGTAAGCCTCGTACACTGGTGCCAGGTGACAAGTGTGCCGTGCCTGGAGCACAGTGTGACTCTGCACCTCAGATTCCCCAAACGCTGGGTATAGGAGGGGCTTGACCTTGCAGGACCAGGCACATCAGTTGCCATTACAAGGAAGGGTCTCTGATGAGAGGGGGCATAGGACACGTAAAGCATCTTAACACCTGGTACTCACCAGCAAACTGTAGAAGAATTCATGGACAAAGAGTCCCATGGCACAGATCAACAGATACAGCAGGTGATACAGGAACTCGACATCTAGAACCATGGCTCGGTAGCCTCTGGTGAATGTCCCACAGTTGCCCACGAAGCTCATTAGAAAGATGATTTTATTACAGACCTGAGAACCAGGACAGAAGAGTCAGATGGCACAGACCATGACAAAGTGTGTGCGTGAGCCCAGGGAGATTCTCATGCGAATGCAGTTAGGTTCCACCGCCTGACAAGAGCTTGCTTTGGTGCCAAATGCCCACCGTGTCCAAGAACCATTCTGTAGTTCCAAGTCACTTCACTACTTTGCTTTTTCAGGCATATTACAAATTGCACAGTAGTCAAACAATGTCATGTGCAACGGTAAATAAGTAGCATTTGTATATGGCAAAAACAAAATTAACACATACTGAGATTACGATTTTCAAAATGATATGAATCATTTCTAACATTCTTACGTGAGTTAGTCAAACACAGAAGTCACCTCTACCCACGAACTTCATGATCAGCATGATTACAAGTATTTTCTGAATTTGTTACATTCTAGGCATTATAGGGTTGCAATTTAATGAGAAGCAGGCAATTCTTGTCTTTCAGTGCTTCTAAATTTATAGGGAAAATAAGAACTTTGGCGGGGGGAAGCAAATAAGGAATGTCAAGATGAGTTCAGTTTCCCAGCCCCTTCTTCTGGGAATCACTTCTAATTTCCCTGGGGGATCCATCCCTTTCCAGGAATCGGTTCTTGAGGTCTGGGTGGGGCTCCACCCTGAGCAATCAGAATACTGGAATCTTCTGGGATTGTGCTACTGCATTGTTCAGGGATAGGCATGTGATCAAAGGGAGCCAATAAAGTTTACTGAGCCCTTCCCGGGCATAGCACTAGAAAACAATTTTGTCTCTCCCCTTGATCTTAACAAGACAGAATAACCTCTGGAGCTTTTGGCAGCCTCTTACCATACCACAGATCCAGAGAGCACAACCAGTACACAGGACACAGATCTGAAAGAAGGGACAGAGCAACAGGCCCTGATGCCACTGTCTGAGATCCTACAATCAGCTATGCCTGAAGCCAGGCTCTTGATTTTTTTTTTTTGGTCAAAACCAACCAATCCATTGTCTCCTCTGCATAGACTTTCTGGTACCTGTAACTGAAGGAGTCCTAATTGATGTACAACAGTCCCACTTTTGCTAGAAAATACACTACTAGAAGTCTATCGCTTCAACAGGTTGATAGAAAAACTTGAATTGGAGGAGGCTGGACAGAAAGTACCTTGGGCACCCTTGGTAAAGCCACTTTCTGCTACTCCAGCTCCCCTGGCCTCAGGTGCTGGGAAAATTCTGCCAGTTAACCTGGCAGGTCAGTGTAACAGAGCCTCTCAGCAATCAGAGAGGCAGTACCCAAAGAGAACTTCTGGCTTTCTGGGGCTCCGATGTGCAATCTGCCTGTTATTTTTTTCCCCTCAATATTTTCATCTTTGCTGATGAGGGTCTTCCCTAGGGTGGGCACACATTGCTGACTCTGGATGATGCATATTGATGGGGTTTTGGGCAAGGTCCAAGGAGGCAGGGAGGGTACCAGGATACTAGTTAATATCACTGGATGCAACAGCTCCTGTCATCGTAACAGGAAGGAAAGCAATCCACTTCCCCCGAATCCACTCAATCCTTTAACTTCCATTGCTCCCCAGCAAACATCTCCTGTACACGGGTGGTCTCGTGCTGTCAACTCCCTACACTCTGCTTGGCTGGCCTTCTGTTTGCTTCCAGCTCCACCCTGCTACAGAAGCAGCCCTTGTCAAGTCCCCCAGGGAGGCTGCCATCTTCTATCTGCATCTTCCCCTGTCTGTCTGAGCTCCTCACAGCACAACAGAGCTCACCACCCCGTCCCTCTCAGGACAACAGCATGCTCAACGTGCAGTACACCAGCCCAGCCTCCCCCAGCGCTCAGACCTCCAGTGTTCCTCCTCTCTTTATCTACGACCATCTTCCTTCTCCCATATGCTTCTGGTGGTTGGTCTGTCTCTCAAATCTCATCTAAATATTAATAACTGTCTGGCCCTTTCCCCCTCTAGCAATTATTATTACACAAGAAAATTGTCTAATTTGAGACTTTCCCATAAGCTATTTAGAAGTGATGACCACAGGATGATTAAAGTCTAGAGTAAAAGAGAATGAGGCAGTCCAGAGAAGACGACCTCTAAGACACTGAGGTTTTCCTTTCCATCCGTCTATTGACACACCCACCCATCCAGTATTTCTTCATCAATAGCTTCCTCTTGCTGTTGGTGATCCCCCTCCCCAGCAACATCTCTCTGCCACTTCTGGCCAGGCTTTTCCATATGTGACAGTTGACAGTCTTAGCACATCTTGTCATCTCAAGCCCAATAAGTCACCAATATAAATGTGTTTTCACCATGAAAACTCAATATTTTCATGACTTCCTTTTTTAGCTTTTACCCAGTGTTATTCTTCTCTTAGTCACCCATGACTGGAAACCTGAAGTCCTATTGGTCTCCTCCGTCACACAATGCCTTCTTGTCCTGAAGACGACCCAGCTGCACCTCGGTGGGGGAATGCCCTGACTCTGAAGCCCCACCCAGGACTCTTTCCTTCCCATCAGTGTATACTGTACACAACGACCTGGGCTCAGGCTGGCCACACCTGATCAAAATCACCCCAGGGCCTCCCTGCCTCCGGAGTCCACACACCAATGATGACCTTTCTGAAAAATACCTTCGTGTGTACCAATGGCTTGGCTCAAAAACACTTCTCACCAATAGGAACAGAGTGTCCCAACATCTACTCAATGCAAAACCAGTCCCCAGTAATACTTAAAACAACAACAACAGAAACAATCACAGGCAAACGTGGGAAACACAAATACGTGAGTTCCCTTTCCTTGAGACTCAAAATCCATATAAGTATCCTAAAGTCTCTAAAAAGTCCTCTGGTCAGAGATACTCTTCAATTTTGTTTAATTTCTCACAATGACTTGACCACTTTTTTTTGTTGTTTTGACTCAACATTTATCAAGTCAGGTCATACTTTAGAAATGTGGACCTTAGGATGAAGTCTAAAAGCTTCTTCCTAAAGGCAACTCATACAGACAACTACGAATGAGGTCCACCTCAATCTCTAACGATCTCTGGCTCACACCCAGGTGTCCTCGCTGCTCTGCGCTGGCCGAGGCCTACGACAACCAGAATGCTCTTCTAGGTTCCTGTTCTCTGGCTGTGCCCTTCAAGACACAACTTAACCCTGCTTCCTCCCGCTAAGCTTATCTTCTCGACATGGTCTCCTCTCCAGAGTTCTTGCTTCCTGCGCCATAAAAAGACCCAGTTGGGGACATGGTTACCTTATTTGGTAAAACCACCTCCACTGTTGCACAGGGACCTCAGCTTCCTTATACACTTGGGATACAAAACTCTGGACGGTACCTTCAGACACCGACAGTATCTCACATGGCCAAATTTCATCTTTCCCCTCACCAGACACCCTGTCCCATGAATGGATTGACATCACTTACCTCCACCTCCCGATTGCTCCTGAAGAGGCACTGGACTCCTCTCCATCGTACCAAAGCAGCATTTCCCCCAGCACCACCGACTCACTAACTGTCCCTGGTGCTCCACCAGCTCTGGACACTCCCATTCACCTCTCTCCTCTTTTCTACATGGCTCCCGCCAGAAATGGTGCTGGGTTAATATCTGCTTGTTTGACTTATGGGCAAACCTTTGGCCAGATTGCCGAAGCAACCTGAAATCTCAGCATGTATCACCCTATCTGCCTCACTCCCGGGAGGGATAGTCCCTGAAGTTGAGCCTGTCGACGCCTGGATGATGCACCAGGAGGCTCGACTGCCCCAAGAAGGCCGAGAGGGAGTATGCGGCCATGACCATCTCTTCCTTTTGTTGTTTTATTTTTTATAACGGGGGACTGAACCCAGAGGCGTTTTACTACTGAGCCACATCCCCAATCCCCCCAACCCACTTTTTTTTTTTTTTTTGAGATTGGGTCTTGCCTATTTGCTGAGGCTGGTTCTGAACTTATGATCCTCCTGCCTCAGCCTCCGGAATCACTGGGATGACAGGTGTGCTCTACTGTACCCAGTCCTTTTGCTCTTTTAGCAGCTGACATAGGCAAAATCTTTCTTTTTCTTGGATTGAAAGCTCAGGCTAAGATGCCAGGCACCCGAACGGAAGGCGTTAACCCACAAACAGAAAACAGCAGCAACCAGGACACTCATACTTACGTTGAACGCTCCCAGCAGAAACAATGTGGGTTGCAGCCCGACCGAAAATATCAATCGTAGAATTGTGGAAGCAATCAAGGCCCGGATGCCGTGGGGCTTGGGTAGGGCAATGACGATGGCCAGGGAGATGAGCATTGCTGTCCACAGGAGGCCTGACCAGTGTGGCTCCAGCGTCCCTGGAGGACAGAGCAGGGCTCTCAGGGATCAGTGCTTTCCTGGAGTGTGGGCAAAGGTCAAGGCAGCTATGCTAACGTTTTCTTCAGTCCCCTGCTAGCCTTGTCTGTTCCAACTGTCACCTCAAACTCTCTGCCACAGTTACATGAGGTCACATCTGTGTTTTCAGACTTCCCAGCCATCACCACACGTTTTTCCCCATGTGGGGAACTCTTTCTTCCTATGCATGGTAGGTTTAGCTGAGAGGTGACCCCTTCTGGGAAGTCTCTCCCACCCCTTTCTCCTTGCAGAATTTACAATCCAGCTGTTCCCTCCAGCTCCACATCCCCCCACATTCTGGTCATCCCTGCAGACGCTACATTCTAATGATCGATGTGTGTTTCTCTCACTCTCCAGACCCTAAATTCCCCGAAGGAAGTGCCTGGTGCCAGGAGGCCCTCACCAAAGGCTTGTTCAGTGACTACAACTCATACCTGGGTCCCAACTCACTCTCAGGCAGGACCAACAGGAAGCCTGAGCTTACTTTCTATTAAAAGTGATGCAAAGGAACACTGCAGGTCCCCTGCCTGAATTGGATTTCTTCAAGGGAAAGAGGAAGACAATTTCCGTATCATCCTACAGATTATCCCTGCAGTCAAAGAGCCTCTACCACTTTTTGCCATCTCTTGCTATTGCAAGTTCTATTTAGAGTGTCCCACGAGATGGCTTGGTTATATAACATGAGCCAATGTGGCTAAAAATACAGTTCTGTAAAACACTCATTAAAAAAAATAAAACACCCCTATTGCAAATGCTGTCACATCTTGAGTCTCCTTCGGATGTAAACAAGCAGCAATACACGATTAAGGCCACTTATATAAAGGGGTTTCACATCGTCAGGACGGCTGAGATTGCAGCACCATCCAGGGAGAGACCAGTACACAGACTCCCGCTCTTCCACAAGCTGCTGGCCGCCCTCTGCACTGAGGCCACAGATGCCTGCACAGATGCACTCTCTCCCCCCACAACTCTTTCCCCAGACCCAGCCACTTAGCTCCCAGCCCCTTAACATTCTTCAAAAGGAAAAGCTGATTAGAAATGAGCACGAAGAGTCACAAGCTCTTCAGAAATCCAAAGTGTCACTTTGTGCACATTTAACAATTACTAAACATCTTATTGGCCCCTTGTTGTTGACTGTCATTTAATCTGTCCTCTCGACTATGCTGTGAGGTTGCTACTGGTAGCTCTACTTTTTTTTTTTTTTTTTTTTTTGCAGTGCTGGGGATGGAACCCAGGGCTTTGCGCATGCTAGACAAGAGCTCTGCTGTTGAGCCACATTTCTAGCTCTCTACTTTACTCTGAAGGAAACTGAATCTTGGGTTACATATTTTGTCCAAAGAGAGAGTGTGAATGGCTCGAGTTTACATGTCTCTAAAGTTGATGGTGTGTAATCATCATTTAAATAAAAAAACCTACCCATGCCAGGTACAGTGGCACATGCCTGTGGTCCCAACAACTCCGGAGGCTAAGTCAGAAGGATTGCAAGTTTAAGGCCAGCTGAGCAACTTAGTGAGGCCCCAGGCAACTTAGCGAGACCCTTTCTCAAAATTAAAAAAAATAAAAATTGCTGGGGATGCAGTTCAGTGGTTAAGCACCCCTGGGTTCAAGCCCCAGTGTCAAAAGAAAAAAAAAATCACTCAATTTAAAGGTTGCATTTGGTGAGTCTTGGCAGTGTATGTAGCCAAGCCAGTTGAAACTGGCCCCACAATTGAGATACAAAATATCATCACCGTAAAGTTTCCTTGTATCTCTCTGCTTTCCATGTTTTGCCCCAACCCCTCTCACTGATGTGCTCTTCTGCTATGCTAGTCTTTCATTTTCTAAAATTTTATAAAAATGGGGGGAAAGTACACAAGTAGGTAGTCTTATGTATCTGAATTCTTTCACCTATCAAACTTTTTTGAGTCAGGTGACTCTACTGATATTTCATTATTTTTATTGCTCAGTAATATTCCATAGAATGGATACACTATAACTTACCTATCCATCCATCCAACAATGAAAGGATATGTGGGTTACTTCCAGCTTGGAGCTGTTATGAATAATGTAACCAGAATATTCAAGTGAAAATCTTGGAGCAGGTATGTTTCCATTTCTCTTGGACTAAGGTGAGGAAGGAGATTGCTGGGTTTTAAGTATAGGTGTAATTTTATAAGATACTATCATACTGCTTTCCCAAGTGACTGTGCATATCAGCATATGGCATATGAGTGTTCTGCTGGTCCCACATCATCACCGGTACTTGGTATTGTTGGTCTTTTTAGTTCACCCATTCTAGTAGATTTGCAGTGATGTGTGTGTGTGTGTGTTTAAATGTCTTTTTTCTTTAATATTTATTTTTTAGTTAGGTGGACACAATATCTTTATTCTACTTTTATGTGGTTCTGAGGATGGAACCCAGTGCCTCATGCATGCTAGGCAAGCACTCTACTGCTGAGCCACAAACCCAGCCCCTGTGTTTTCTTTTGTTTTTAATATTTTTACTAGTCATTGATGGATCTTTATTTGTTTATTTATTTACATGCAGGGCTAAGAATTGAACCTAGTGCCTCACACATACTAGGCAAGCACTCCACCACTGAGCCACAACCCCAGCCCTCATTAGTTTTAATTTGCATTTCCCTAACAACTAATAATGATGAATGTCTTTTCACGTGCTTATTTGTATGTATGTGTGTTTATGTTGTTGTTATTATTTACAGTGCTCAGGATCCAGTCCAGGGCCCTGCGTGTGGATAGGAAAGAGTCCTGCCACTGAGCTATGCACCCCAGGTCCTATGTATCTTCTTTTATGAACTCTCTGACCAGATACTTTGCCCATTATTGTAAATGGGGCAGGCTTTATATTATTAAGTTTTAAGGAATCTTCAAATGTTGTGGATATAAGTCTCTAATTAGATACCTGTTTTCTAAGTATTTTTCTCCCAGTGTCTGGCTTACCTTGCATTTTCTTAAGCACATGAACACCACTTAATATCTCAGTCTAATAAATATAACCATATATGCAGATCCTGAAGAGGCCAATGTAAAAACCTGTCTCCCCACTATAAAAGCCGTGTTAAAAAAGAGTGCTAGATTCCAAAAAGCAACTCTAGAATTTCTAGACATCTTTGAGACAGCTGGAGAAATCTGAATTTGGACAGACTATTACAGGATTTACTGTTAGTTCTGTTAGATATGATAATGACATGGTGATTATACAGATTTTAAAATATGCTTATAAGTTAGAGAGGCACACTGAAATATTTATGGTCAAAACAACAAGATGTCTAAACTTCTTTAAAATGTTTCAGAAAATATAGCAGGGGGATAGATGAAACAAGACTGGCAAAATGTTTATTTTTAAAGCTGGGCTGATAGGTACATGTGGGTCATTATATTGTGCTGCCTTCTCATCATGTGTGTATTAGAAAACTACCATATAAAAAAGTTTAAAAAGTAGTACTCTGCATTTGCTTTAATCATGATGCATGCCTACAAATTCAGGAAGCATCTGAGCCTGCCCAAGTGTCACGCTTTTTAAAGACTTAGCTACTCACCAATTCTGATTTTTGTTGTTGTTATTTTGTTGTGTTGGGGATTGAACCCAGGGCCTTGTGCATACGAGGCAAGCACTCTAACAACTGAGGTACATCCCCAGCCCTTGACAACTCACCAATTCTGAAATGAAAGGGGATGGAGGGGGCTGGGGAGATGATACTTTTGAAAAGGAGCTTTTAAGGCCACTGCTGTTCTTGGCAGCCATGTCTGATGAGCCACAGAATCACATGGCACGCACTATAAGGACATTTTGGAAATTCTTTTCTTAAGATGCCAAAAATCCGTGTGTGTACGTGTGTGTGTGTGTGTGTGTGTGTGTGTGTGTGTGTGTTTTGTGGCAGTGGGGATACAAACAGAGACCTGTGCATGTGGGCAAGTGGTCTACACTAAGCTGTAACTCCGGCCCCTAACAGATATGGATCTCAAAAAAATATTTTCAGGTCAATGGACCAGGTGTTATTTCTAATCAGGGTTAATAGAAGCCTTCTCCTCCAGAGGTTTACTGGTTAAGTATAGCAAATGCATTCAACACATGTTACAAAAGGAAAGAATAATCTGAGGGTGAACTGATGTGCTTTAGGTAACTTCAGTCACCATATGGTGGAAGGACAGAAAGGGCCCCCTTAGGTCACACTGACCTCCCTTCCCTCCCAGGAGATCTGGTCCTGCTGTCCCACATGCCCACCCCATGAAATCCTGAAGCCCATGTTTTCCAAACAGGAAGCCTCATCTCCCATGAGTTTTTAAGATGCCAACGCAGAGGGCACCATGTTAGAGTTAGAAGGATCCTCAGCAATTAGCTCATCCAGTGGGTCTCAAATTTGATGGGAAAGAAGCAGGAGGCTCCAGGGAACCCTGACTAGGTTGCTAGTTTTCCCTGAATTCTGCAGGAAGTTCAACAGCCACACTCAAGTCTCCCAGCCTCTAGCTTGGTGTCAGTATCCAGAAATGCAGAGGCACATGACCAGGAGCCAAGGAAGTGGCCTGCCCAGAGGTGGAATGGCAGAGCCAGGCCCGGGTGCTAAGTCTCTGGACTTCTTTGACCATGAATTCCACTGTAGAAAGCTTAACACTGAAAGGTGAGGCCTGTCAACCTACTGTCCCCAGATGCTGGCCTGAGTGCTGCCACAAATAACCAGAGAAGAAATGGTCACGGTGAGTAATAAAAATCTCTTTGAAACATTTTTTTTTTTTTAAATCAAAGGTAAATACAAACATGATCAAGGCAGTGACTAAATAACCTGTTTTGACGAGCAGGAGTTGGGGCCTCCATCACAGCCAATGGAGTCCTCCACTGAACCCTCTCCTGTTCACACCCCTGCCACCTGGCAGCTTAGTGAGGGCAGACACCCTTCAGAAAATAGCTTGCAGCCCTGTGTTCCTATCAGATCTTTTCAGACATGGGTGCTCATGCTTCCTGAAATAGCATTTAAAAGAAAAATGCTGCTCAGCTCAGTGGCCACACCTGTAATCCCAGCAACTCGGGAGGCTGAAGTAGGAGGATTGCCAGTTAGAGGCCAATCTCAGCACCTGAGCAAGGCCACGTCTCAAAATAATAAATAAAAAGGACTAGGGATGTGGTTCAGTCGTGGAGTGCCTCTGGGTTCAATCCTCAGTATCCAAAAGCAAAACATAACAACAAAAAAATTGGGTTAAGATGATATTTCAAGTTCAATAACTCCTTCTCTTTCTTGACTAAAATACACATACATAATAATAGAATATTTAAATTATTTTAAGTTAGACTTAAAACTAAAAGCTACCATCTCATTCTTGCCTGAAAATGGGAACCTGCGATCCTAAACATGGCATAAATGCTTCCAGGGACAGTACTAAGGCTGTAGGTCACAGCTGTCCAGTTGCATCTACTCATTTTTTCAAAATTTAAGCCATCGGTACCTCCTCGCACTCCTTTAAACGGGTAGAAGAAGGCCACGAGCAGGTTCATCAGGACGGCCAGGTTGAAGGAGATGCTGCTCCAGAAGGACATGTTGCGGGCACACCAGTAGAGGACAGGCTGGGCTGTGGGAGGGCAGAGGCCACGTCAGAGAGCTGGAACTCCACAGCCCCTCCTCCCCTCCGTCCCCGCAAGTCCACTTGTGCCACCGGTTTCCTTCTCAACAGTAAAAATGATCATTTGTTTCCAAATTGGCACGCAGTGACATCTCATCGGTTCATTTCTGTTTGGAGAACTCGGGAACAGAAGGCCTATTGGGGGACACTGAAGAGGAGGAGGAGACAAGTTGGGACATTTGAAAGCCCTGCGTGCCCCAGTCAACAGCACCAGCTGCAGGGGCTGGGGGTCATCCAGGGTTCATGCACGGAGGGCCTGGTTCCCCTCGGGCTGCTGGGACCAGATGAGATGCCCAGAGAGACCCAAGAATTTAATTAGGTCTCTAGAAATGTTGGGGAGACACAGCGCTCAGAGTTGGTCCAGTTGGGCCTCAAACAAGGACTGGTCCCCTTTTCACATCCCTCCTGGCTCTTAATGCCCCACAGCAGAACAACAATCCCCTTTCCAACACCGAGTCACTTGCCGCCTCCCTGAAGCCTGATGGTCACTCTCAGGGGGCCGGGGAAACAGGAACACAGGGTGCCAACTGGATGGTCAGCTTGGAGTCCACGTTTCCAGCGGCTCCAGGAGAGAAAGGGTGTGGCACCATGTGTCACACAGGGGCAAGGCACCCTGTGGAAACCACTGCCTTCTCAATCCATTGTGCCCTACGGTGACACCACGTGGGCTGGATATTCTAATAACAAGGCTATGTCCATGCTCAGCGGCTCCAGGGCACCTTTTCCATTGGTGCCAGGGTGGAGCCGATTTCAGTGTAGCGCTAGCATCTCACTCAACATCAGCCTCCCCAGAGACAATGGAGCATGTGGGCAGGGGTCCCTCGAATGCTTTTTTTTTTCCTCCTTCCCCAGTGAAGTCATCATTTAACTTTAGCACAGAGGCCAATGACAAACCCTATGGCCCTATAATGATACTTGCAGCTGCCAAGCCTTTGGAAGCTTCCCTTCTGAACTCGGTTAGGGTCCAAACAGACAGATCCCTGGGTGCTTAACAATCGCTCACAGCAGGTCTGTACTTGGTAAGAGGCGATGTTTCCTAACTGCAGAGTCGCAACCCAGCCTTCAGATTAAGAGGCCTCATTTTACACACAAGGGAATGCCCAGCAATGCGTGGAGGGTGTGGCAATGCCATCACCCAGGGGATCGATGCTCTGGGGTCAGTGCCGGGGTTAAAGGTAAATGGCTTGTGTGACCACTCCAGAGAGGCCAACCAGGATCCGGCCAATCACTGGGTAATAATTCATCTTGAGGAAGCGAACTTGAGAAGAAAGATCATCTGGCTTTGAAAACAAAAGCAACTGCGATTCTTTTGGGGCTGATGCCCCCTTTCTGATCTAGATACGAAAACTCCAGAACTGGAGGGAAGAGATGAACGGTAAGGAGGTGCTGAGGCTAAGGAACAGGCACAGATTCGCAGCATCTCTCCCCATCGCGGATGTACCAAAAGCAGGTGGTAAGTTGGGGGGTTGGGGAAGGAGCCGGCAAAGCCTAGGATGGTCAGAGAGCCAATGTGAGCATCCGTTGTAGGATACCTCAGTACAACCTTGAGAAATGTGCAGTTCACAAGTACATCTTATTTTTATAAAACTAGCATTCTACTTAAATTGTACTACCATTTTGAATCTGAACAAACATTCAGCCCTTTAAACCAAGTGGCGTTAATCCAAGAGCAAGAAGGTACTTGGAGACCCACCTGGAGGTGCCATCTCTTATTTCCTGGGGCATGTGGAACAGTATTCCATCCACCTGCCTGGACCCTCTCCCTCTTCCCTTCCCTGTCCTCTGCATCCCAGTCTGGTGATGATTCTGTCTATACAGGTGCTGTCCCTCAGGGCTCCCTGTACTCTTTGTGAGGATCTAAAACCATGTCCACAAGGTCTCTGATACTCTTCCCTTCACAAGGTGTGGCTAAATTCTCCTCCCCCGAGTGTGTGTGGGGCCAGCAACTCACTTCTAATAAACAGAACACAGCACAACTGTTGGTGCCTGACTTCTAAGGGTAGTCACGAAGGGCTCTGTGGCCTTCCTCACTCTCTGGACTCAGCCATTGGCTCTGCTGGGTTGTGAGGACTTGCAGCAGATTCACCCAGAGGCCCATGTGCAGAGGAACTGAGACCCCTGCCAACAGCCACCTGGGTGAGCTAACAACAGGTGGATGTTCCAGTCCAGGCAAATGCACAGATGGTGGCCCTGGTTGGGGTCTCAGTTGAAACACTCTGAGTCAGAACCATCCCCCTAAGCTACTCCCAAATTCCTGACCCCAGAAAGCGGTGAGAAAAATCAATATTTACTTTTTCAAGCCACTAAAATTTGGTGGGTAACTTGGTACACAGTGATGAAATGCAATGAACATGCATTCTACAGTAGGCAAAATGATGGGCCCTAAATGTCCCTATCCTAATCCTCAGGGCCTGTGACTGTCTTACCTTACATGACAGAAAGGACTTGCAAGTCCTTGCATGTGAAAGACGGAAGCAGGAGACTCAGAGCCAAAGCCATGCAACACAAGAAGGGTTCTGCTAGACACTCTGGGCTTTGAGGAGGGAGGGGACAAAAGCCCAGGACCTCAGGCAGCCATGGCTCTACCAATTTGATAACAGGCTCGTGAGAATGGTGTGGTAGGTACCAGAATTCGTGACTAGTGGTTTCGGCAGCAAGAGAAGACGGATACATCTCCCCCTCCTGCAGGCTCTCTGGCTGTGCTAAGTCCCCACTTCCCATCTAGATGCTATTCCGGTCCCACCTGTCCTCCCAAGTCTTCCTTTCCCATATTCGCATAACCTGCCACTGCCTGACTACAGGCCTAATCATAATCAGCTTGGTATGTAGCCACTTAAAATATGCCTGTGTTGTCTGCCCACTTCCAAAGGAAGAAGCCACAACCTTCGCATGTTGGGTTCTCCACTGTAACCTGCAGCAGGTTTTCTATGTCCTTGGGGCTAAAAGTTGCCTGGATCAACAACATCCTGCCATGTCCAGCAAGACAGTGGGATGCCATGAACCCAGATGGGCGAGTGATTTGACTCACTATACCTAGGACACGTTTTGGTGACACTCTTTCCTAGCCTTTTGCTTAAAGGAACTGGGCTTTGCCAGCTGACCTGGATTCCACATATATGTGTATAAGCAGCATTTCCCAGCTCTGTGCCCATCAGAGTGACAGTCACAGGGCACAGGCGTGAGCATGTGCAACTCTATCTCAGTTTCCTCTTCTAGTTTTCACAGCCCAGTCTGGACTTCACCAGAGCTGTGACCTTCAGAGCGGGAGGCAGAGACAGGATGCAGGTGGGAGAAGGGTGTGTGTGCCTGCGTGCCTGCTGCATGTGCTGGGTAAGCAAAGCAGAGAACAGGGTTTCTACAGGGCAGAGCATCTAACTGGGTGTCTCAGTTCTTGCAGAAGAAAACACTAAGCAACGTTAACAGTGGAGTCTCAGCTACAGATGTCCCAAAGCACGGGTGATGTTCAGTAAAAGGTAAAGCTGAGCTGCTATGTGAGTAAGCCAGAAAAGACCTCTTCTGCAGAATTACTAGAAGAGAAGATAAACCCTTGGAAGGGGAGAATGCATTTCAACTTCACTGCACTTCTAATGAGTATACTTCTCCCCTCCCTAGATATGCAAATCATGTTTAATTCAGTTATTATTTTCAATTTCTCTCTTACCAGAGGATAGCTTTGAAGCCAATTAAAATCTTCCAGTTGACAACTATACTTGTGTTTAAGCTTCACAGAAATAAAAACTGTTTTCCAAAAACAGAAAGACTGAAAATAAAGGAAGGCAGGAGTGACACTGTGACATGAATCTGGGAATGCCAAGATGGCCATTCTGGAATAAAAGGAGTCCAAGAGGTCATCCTGCTCCTCGACTTATGGATGAAGGTCTGGGAGCAGTTAACCCACCTGCTGGGGGCCACAGAGCAGGGGGGTGGCAGAGAGAGAATGGAACTGACATCCTCCTCCTTGGGGCTGAGGTCCCCCGATCTCCCCAGCTGGAGACACCATTTCAGAAAGAGCGACGTGAGACACCGTAACAGAAAGGTCTCTGTTGGTTTACCAGATTTTTAGAGAGACACACGTACACCCCTATATATATATATGGATTGACGAACAATTCTGGGAGATGAAATATATCTGATCCACTGAGCAGCCACATTCACTGATAAGCATAAAATTAATTGATAAGATTTGGAGGCATGAAATCGGGACCATTCCCTAAAGCTGCGACTGTGGTACATCGCGCTGACAGGCAGAAGCCACAAAGCAGTTCTCTCTTCTCTCTAGCACAGAACTAGAAAGGTGAGCCCGAGGCAGATGGGGCTTTTCTCCTCCTCGTGGCAGGGGCATCTCTTTCTTACAGCCCAGCATGGTGCTATCAGGAGTGCCAGTGTTCACCATGATGCCCAAATTGGAAGAGTGTCGGAGGAAGAATCTACAGGAGGCTCCAAGGACAGGCAGTGGTAGAATCGTGCCTGCATCCTCTGAGGTCTGTACCAAGGAGGATACCCATGCTCACTGCTGTGAGCCTTTGCTCCCTGGGTCAGACTCGAGACATGTGGGTACAGGATGGTATGGCCCAGAATGTTTTAAGATGCCCCTTAGGGACGGACGAGAAAGGAATAGGGATGGGGTGAGGTGGGAATAGGACCTTTTGGCCAATCTGCTTGGACAACCTTCTTTGTCACTAGCAAAGCTAAGGATGCAGGTGGGTGAGGAGAGAAGTAAAGCAGCAGCAGAGGAGACATGTCTGGTCCTCAGATTAGCAGGGATCAGGGAGAGGATGAGAGTTCCCCGAAACTGACCTATGACACATCTCTCCCCAACCCTAGTCGCACCCCATAGAAAGAGCCAAGAAGATCACAGTCGTAGCTGGACTTCAGCGTTTCAAATAAAAGCCTGGCTCCTGACAGAAATAAAACATGATCCTTTTCAAGTTGGCCACAACAGCTGGTGCCAAGCTCGTCGTTGGGGCTGAAGGACCATATTAAACCCCTAATGAAAACCAGGAGCAGGGGAGCCCCCTGCGGAAGCCCTATAAAGGTGCCTACCATGAGTCATTTCAGCCAGGCCTGCCTGGGCCTCTCCATAGGACTCGCTGGAGGGCAATGATGTGTCGTACATAAAAAGTTATTCTGCCCATAAAATGATTTAGAGCCTCAAACCTGAGCTCCTCGGTATGAGGGGAAACATGGGAGACTCCAGAGCAGGTGTGCTAGTAAATGAGCAATCAGGCCGAGTGCACTTTCTGCCCACTGAACCATCCTGGGCGCTCAAGGGCCTGGTCTTTCATCGCCCTCTTTATTTATTTATTTATTTATTTGGTGCCAGGGATTGAACCCAGGGATGCTTGAACCACTGAGCGACATCCCCAGCTCCTTTTTAATTTTGACACAGGGTCTCGCTGAGTGGGTTAGGGCCTCCCTAAGTTGCTGCAGCTGGCCTCAAACTTGCAATCCTCCTGCTTGAGCCTCTTGAGTTTCTGGGATTACACCATGCCCCACTTCTATTTCTGACATGGAGATTACAACAAAAAAGGGCATTCTAAGTCATCCATGGAACTGCCACACATCCAGTCAGGACAGATGCTGCATGAAGGAAGCCTCTCTGGGGAACTGCCACACTGAGGCTTGGCCCCATTTATCAGCTACTAAAGGGCCACCACTGGCCTCCAGGAAAGCACACAGATGACCCCCACGTGGCTTCTCTTGGGAGGCAGAGGCACCCCTCAGCTCGAGTCTATGAGACACCCAGGACCACACCTCTTAGGAGCAAGTCCCCGGCACTGGGACCCACCTCGCAGCTTCTTCTGCCAGTTCATTTCGTTGAAGAGGTCTTCCGAGCGCAGGAAGAAGTCGTTGATCTTGCTACCCTGCTCGTCCCGCTCCGTGGTGTAGTATATTCGCAGTTTTGACTCCTTGGTTAGGAATTCACATATGCTGGGTACTGGGAAGACAATCTGTTCCATTGTTCGGTCTAATCGGACAATCTGGTTTAAAAACAAAGGAGAGACTCAGCGGTCGCCTCCGACACCTTGTGTAGGCTGCAGGCGGACTTGGGGTTCGAGGTTCAGAACAATAAAGAACAAACTTTTCAGATTCGATGACTTTGGCTGGGCCATCTCACTCAGACTAATGTAAAAACCAGTTCTGGTTAACTCTGCTTTTCTAACCTCAGACCCCATTCGTTTTAATGTGACCAGCTTTTACCGGAAAATCACATTGCGTTTCACATACATATTCACATGAGGCTGCTATTGCCTGACAGAACTTTCTCTAAGATGGGATGGTTCTCCATCTATGCTGCCCAGGAGGATGGCGGGCCATAGGTGGCCTCTGGGCATTAGCACATATGCTTACTGCAACTGAGGAGCTGAATATTCCGTTATATTTCATTTTCATCTCAGCAGCCACACAGAACTCTCACACTGGACAGGGTGAAATGACTGGACTGAGAGCTGCAGCCTCAGCAGTCCATCCTAATGGGCTGACGGGTCCCGGTGACCACAGGCAGGTAGGGTGTGGCTGGAAGAGGTGGGTCACTGGGGGCGTGCCCTGGAAGGGTGCATTGTTCCTGTGGCCCCTTGGTCCCCTCTCTCCTCCTCTGCCTTCCTCCTCCCTGCTTCCTGGCTGCCACGAGCTGAGAGGTTTCCCTTAGCTGGGACCTGGTGTCATGATGTTCTGCTTTGCCATGGGCCCAGAGCAATGAAACTTTCTAACCATGAACTGAGATCTCTGAAACTGAGCCCCAAATAAACTTTTCCTCCTCTAGGTTTTTCCTATCAGGTATTTTGGTCACAGTGACGAAAAGCTGACTAACACAAGTGGGAAGGTGTCCCAGAGGTGGGACGGGTTCCCAAGCCCTGGCTCCATATTCTCTGAGGGACGTAGACCAGTGCTTCCTGAATCTAGCTGGAACTCGGGTTTCGGAAGCCTTTGTTCTCACACTAGTTCTGCCCACAACCTAACCTCATAGAACTAGAATCACAATGTGAGGGGTTAGTGACCAGAACCTGCCCATGATCCAGCTCTCCAGGTAATTCTGGTGTAAACAGGGGGGCAGGGACCATTCTGCAGTGTCCTGCTATGGAGAACCTGTCTGCTCCACACAGTCAAGCCACTGGGAATCAGTCCTGCCTTCTTCTGAAGGACATCATGAGAGATGTGCATCTGGGCTCAGGAGGAAAAGGAACAGGAGGAGTTCCCGAGCCTGGGGCCACCTAGCCTGATTCCCAGTGAGGACACTGGGGCTGCAAAGAAAGCCCCAGGAGGTGGGGAACTGTTCCCTGGTTCCCTCAGGTAACCACCAGGGGAAACCTGAGGGAAGGGGAGGGTGTTGGCCAAAGGCAGGGACATCTAGGCATTTCTGTCCTTTTTTTTAAAAAAGCCACTTAAAAGTGGGAGGCAGGAGAACTTCTCTAGTGCTTCTCCAGCCTCTAGTGGGTCTTCTCCCCAGTAAAGCATGGAGCTCAACAAAATGACCTCTAAGGTTCCGGTCTCCTCTGACATTCTAAGGCACCAACACCTAACACTTGTCTTCCAAGGGTTCCAGAGGACAGAACTGGCCCTGTGGCCAAGCTCCTCGACACACATGATGAATCAAGAATATGTGCTCACCTACTCTGGCACATGAGTGAAATGATACATGACATTAGGATGGCCTGGAAACCTGATTCATCAGAGAAGAACACATGAAAAATCTCCATCTTGAACATGCTGCTGCTCAAAGGAATGTGCTAGTCCTTGTGAATGTGAACCCTCCTTTCAATGCTGATGCTGAGCTTGGATATTTCCTTGTTGGCAAAACGTGACGCATCATCCCTTACTGCTGCAGGACTGATGGAAGCCCGTGTTCCCTGGGATGCTAAGAGACAATTCAGGGGACATAAAACACATCCCCAGGCTCAGGGGTCAAACAGACGGGGATTAAAATTCCAGCTCTGAGAGTTGGAGAAGGAACATGACTCCCCTGAGCCTTACGGCAGTGACTCTCCATGTGAAAAATGGGGACATTACCAACCAGTTCAAGGAGGATTATTAGTAAGACCTTTTTTGTTTGGTTTAACATGCAGATGTGACTGTAGTGTGGCTGAGTGAGGCTCCCTAGTGGTCCCATTGCCCTGGGTTCCAGTCTGGACTTCTCCCAGGGATGGTGCACCAGTTCTGCAGGCTCGGGGCTGCCCCCTCCCTTCAGCTCCCTGAACTGCAGCCCCTGGGCCTTGCTCATCTCCATCCTCCCGAGAATCTCCCCTCCCAGGGTCTGAGAAGCTCCTCGCCCGTTCATGAGGGTCTGCACTCAGAGGCCACCTCTTCAGAACAGGCCTCCTGGGCATCACAGTCTGCAGCACGTCCCCTCTGCTGAGCTTTCTTTTATGCCATATCCTTGTGGCCTGGCCACAATCTGACATGAGTGAGATGTCTCTGTTTGGCTCTGCTCAGAGCCCACTTCATCTCCAGCCCTCAAGAGACACGACCGACGGCCATCACTGGTTAATTCACACCTTACACAAGACCTGGTATAGAGGAGGTGCTCACAGCACCTTCACCGCTCAGATAAAGAATGTGCACAGGCCTGGCACAGGGCATTGCTCAGTGGAGGCCTCAGCACTGAAGGTCGGCGCCAGGCTGACCGCGCTTACCTCGATCTGTGCCGTGTGCTTGGCATAGAACTCCAGAGCTTCGTCTCCATCCACCTGGCCACCAGGCTTCAGCATGGTCTGAAGTTCTTTGTTGTGCCGAGCCAACTAGAACACAAGTACAGAAACACAGGGGCGACATCTCCACAACAGGAATGCATGAGCTCTTTCTAGCTACGAGTTTCAAACAGTGCATCGCAACCAGCAGCAAGCAGAGGGCAAAGGAGCTGGGAGGCTTGCTACCTTCTCTCCAGGTGCCTCTGCATGGGGGTCACTTGGAGAGCCTGGTAGAAAAGTCCTGGAAGCTCATACAGAGTCCTTGCTTCCCCTTGGTTTCATTTCTTTTCTTTTTTTACAGGGAGCAGGGGGTAGCAGAGATTTAACCCAAAGGGGCTCGGCCTCTGAGCCAGATCCCCAGCCCTTTTCATTTGTTATTTTGAGACAGGATCTTGCTAATTGCTGAGGGCCTTGCTAAATTGCTGAGGCTGGCTTTGAACTTGCGATCCTCCTGTCTCGGCCTCTGGAGCTGCTGGGATTACAGGGCGTGCCACTTCATGAAGGTCCCCTGATTTCTATGTAGACAGGAGGGTTTTCTGGACAGTCCTGCAGAGCCTCCATGTGGAATGTTCAGAAGCCCTTTTGGAGGTCAGATGCTAATCATGGGATAGAAATGGGGTGGGGACCTACCAACCTCGGGCCCAACCCCATCATTGCTTATAGCCGGGTCTCTGCTCGAGAGACAAGGGGGACAGGAAACAGGAGCTGAGCTACGGCCTGCCCAGACCCCCCCAAAATCCAAGAGACATCAGCACCCGGAAAGAGGATTAAGAACCTCCTACAGGGAACAGGATAAAGAAAGGAGACACTGGGATGCCAGGGCACGGAGCATCACCCTATCCCCCAAGGCAGAAGGAAGTCCTAACGACAAGTTCCCACGGACCTCACATACGGCTGGGGGAGAAGCTGGAGTTTACTCCTTTAGATTGTTAAGAAACTTGGCTGTATTTATAAGAAAGGCTGGGACGCCTTTCACAGGACTCCAGACGAGATCATAAACCACCGACTGTTACTGCCCAGGGGTGGGTGCTTATAAGGGGGATTTCCAAGTCTGTGACCTCAGCACAGAAAAGTCCTGGGCCTCAGATCAGATGCCAAAACTCCCGGGAGCCACACTCTCATGAGTGCAGCCAGCCCTCAGAGAAGGCCATCAAGGAGGGCCAGTCCCAGGCCCACAGCCCTCAGTTCCGGAAGGCCCTTGGGCTTGGAATGGTTGGTGGCCTTGGGCGCAGAGTCTGCAGGGGCGTAGGAGCTCATACCTGGTGTGCTAATATGTAGATGTTGTGCCCCACATTCCTGGGGGAGGCAGCTCCGTCCTCACCATTTTCTCCATCCTCAAATTCGACTTCGCCTTGCATGTAAGCCTTCTTGATCACTTCCACCTGCAAGAAGGGCCGAGGGGACCCTCTGAAGACTGGCGTCTGTAGCACCCAGGTGGTAATCTTCCCTCTGGGGCAGATGCTGCTCACCCAGTGCAGCAGCATTTCCTAGCGGGCTTGGAACGCAGCCTCAGAATCCTCCTAACACTGCTGCAAGCAGTCGAGACCTTTACCCTCCACAGACAAGAAGCAAATTCATTTACTCTACTTGGAGCAAGAGATATTCTATGGCTCCTAATTTAAAAGGGGGCAATGGCTATAAAAGCACTTTGAAAAGGCAAATATGATATAAATGTAAGTTAGAAGCCTGAATTTTCCTATCTCCACATTTCTTTCCATCAACTCTCCTTAATCCCAATTTTGTCCTTTTAGGAAAAATCTGCTAAGAAATCCATTTGTTTTCAGAACAGCTTGTTTTCTTTTTTTTTTTTTTGGTGCTGGGGATTGAACCCAGGGTCACTCCACCACTGAACTACACCACCTTTTTGCAACAGGTCTTGCTAAATTGCTGAGGCTGGCCTCAAACTTGTGATCCCCCTGTCCCAGTCTCCTGAGTCACTGGAATGTGCATAACTGTGCCTGGCTGTGAAATATTTTTCTTATTCAGTTCCCTTCCCTGACAAGCCTACACTATGTGAAAATAATAGACAACTAGTAACATCTATTGACCGCTTCTCCTTGGTGCCAGGCACCGTGCTTACTATTTTCATGTTCTTTTTAAAAATGTAATGCTCATAGGGCTGAGGCTCTGGTTCACTCGGTAGAGTGCTTCCCTCGAATGTGCAAGGCCTTGGGTTCAATCCCCAGCACCACCCCCCCCCCAAAAAAATTAATGCTCACAAACATTTTATAAAGTTACCAGAGGTTCCATTTCTTTATGGACAAAGACACTAAGAGAAAAGAACACTGATGAAGTCACAGTTAATGAGCTTGGACGCCTTCACAGTGCCACAGCTCTGTCCCTGGTTCTATGCACTTGGCTTGGCTCATGCCTCCAGCATCCTGGAGCCTTTCTGTCCCTATCTTGCTGTTTCCACTCACCTCACCTCCCAGGGAGCAGGAGCCAAGTCTGCCTGTATCCAGACCCTGCCCTAGTGCCCAGCACGGTGCCCTAGCTGATGGAGGGCCTGGCCAGGATTTATTAAATGAACAAATTGTTCAGGATTTCATCATTTAAAGAGTAAGAACACCTCCACCCCCTAAATCGTATGAAAGATTCATTTTTTTTTGTTTGTTTGTTGGTATTTTGGCTTTTTTGATGGTTCAGAAGGCAGTTTAGCCACAAGGCAGCAATCTGGAATTATTACTCATTACCCCAAATCAAACACGTGGAGAGCCACCCATTTCTGCACTGAGGCCAGTTCAGGCACTGGGTTGAACTTTGGAGACAAAGCCTCCTTCTCTGAGCTTTGATTCCTGCCAAGTTCCCTCCAATATCCAATCAGGCAGACAGCATGTTGTGTAGGATGCAGGGCCACAACACACACAGTGCACGCTTGCACACACACACTGGACATCTGAGCGTCCCTCTATCTAGACACTTAGAGCCATATTTGTTCCAGGAAGTCCGACTCCTCCTGTGAGCCAGAATGATGTTCTCCAAGCACAACGGGGCCAACCAGGAGCTAGAGGCAGCCACAGCATGGGGTGCTGGCATTTCCCCACCCAGGACAGGCCAGAAGAGCTGGGTGCTTTCTTAGTTCATGAACGGGATCTCTGCAAGGTCATGCTGACCCTACTCAAGAAAGATAACCCTGAGTCCCCAGCACTCCCAGTTATACAAGCTGTTACGCAAACGCACAGAGGACTCCCAGCTCGGGCTGAGACCTTATTCCCTGACCTCGGAGATCAAAGAACTGGGCTGCTCTTAACTTTAAATAAAGAAATACATGAAGGGACTTTGGCCTGTGCACATCTAGGTCAGCAGGAGGCAGAGCTGTTTTAATGCCCTCATTTAAGTCTGTCAGCTGCAGTTTGTTTGTATGGGGAAAAGTCCAAAAAGAGAGCTCTGCCCTCTGCTCTTGTCACCATCTCTGAACGCTCCTCGTCTGACAGTCTACAGCCCCAACTCCAACCTGGAAGTCACAGCCCCCTGTGAATATCACCCCTCAAAAATAAACCAGATCGTGTTTTCTCCAAAGAAAACTCAAGCCAAGAAAGCACGCCAGCCACCCAAGAAACTTCTCTTCCATTGTCCAGACCACTGGCAACAAGAACGGATGTGATCTTGTCACCCCTGGACAAAGATGTGGCAAAAATATCAGCAAAGAATAGGGGTGAGCAGAAAAGGGGCTTCGATTCACAGAGGACTATCGTGTGTCAGCACTGCACTGGGCTAGATGTGAACCTTCTCATCTAGTCTTGAAAACAACGCTTTGGCCCAGGTGACTTCATCTTTCTTTTATGAATCAGGGAAGTGTGAGGTTGGAGAGGTCAAATGGCTGCCAAAACCTCACCGTAATGCATCTGAACTTGGCCAGTGAACTTGACCATGCTCTGCACCCAGTCCTCCATGAGCGGAAGACAGAGAAGGTGGCTTCTGGATGCTCCAGGGACAGGGAACACATGTCCAGTGCCCTACGCTTCACCTCCCCACCGGCTCAGGGGCCTGAATTGCAAGTTTTCTTCATCCTTCTGGTTTGATGAATCTTGAAGAAAGCTTCCTTGAGTGGGTCCCAGGTCCTGCTTTGATGTTCCCAACTCACCAGCTCCTTCGGCCGCATGTTGTAGAGGATCCTCTCGGCATTCTCACTGTCGTGTCTGCTCTCCATGATGGCCAGCAGCAACTTGGAAGCGTTGTTCTAGTTGGAGAAAAGCCAGGGTGAGAGAGGCAGGGGAGATGCGAGGGCGGGGGACTCAGGTGTGCAGCCTGGCTAGTCAGACAGGCATCCACCTGGTGGGGAGAGGATGGCACAGACGCTCTGCAACAGGCAGAGGAGGTGCTACCTTCAGACCCCGCGACATGCACACAATCCGATTCAGGTCAAAGAGACACAGGTGTCAGCTGTTGGAAGACTAGCAAGTATTGGAATTCTAAACCTGGGTGTTGGCGGGTGCCAGTCACCCACCAGTCTCCATGGGGGATCGGTCCCAGGACCCCTGGGGAACCAAAACCCAGGGATGCTCAGGTCCCTTATAGAAAATGGTATAGTCTGTGCATATAACTGAGAACATCCTTCCAAATACTTCTTCTCTGGACTATTTATGATAATACATAACACAATGTAAAAGTACAAGGTCAATAATTGTTGCTGTGCTATATTTTTTTAGGAAATAATAACAAGAACAAGACTGTCTGTACGTTTTCAGCATAGGTGCAATAATTTTTCCTCAAATATTTTGATCCTGCGGTTGGCTGACCCTGCAGATATTGAGAGGCACACGTGGAGGCCTGACTGGACTGTCACTCTTGGTGACATGGCTGTGCACAGGCCCATGCTGACTTGATGCTCCTGAGGAGTGGAGTGGCAAGTTCTCTGCAGGGGCAGATGAGTGTAGGGACACTGCTGCTCAGCCCAGCAGGCCAGAGAAGACAAGGCAACCAGGATAGTTCTTCGTGGTCTGAAAATATTTCCATCAGTACCCATAACTCCAAATACCATGAGAGTACAACTAACACACTTAACCAGAGTGACCCAGAGGAACACTGCCTGCCTGCCTGCCAAGCTCTGTGTTCCCATCCTATTAACAGTGCCCATGTGGCTACACCCTGTGGATCTTGGCTTGACCTCACTTGAGGTCCTGGGCCATAAGGATTTCTATGCTTTTTGTTTATAGGACTCCAAAGATCTTGGTTTTTTTTTTGGGGGGGGGTGTTCCTCCCCAAGCTTCACAGCAGCTCAGTTAGGTTGCTGTGCTGTCATAAGACAGAACTTTCTATAATTATCCTCAGATCATCAGACTGTTGAATTAGTGGAACAGGTCACTGAAATGCTGCCCTGGAGCACATGAATGTCTCAGAGTAGTCCAGTGGCTGATAAACGGTGTGTTTGCACGATGCTCAAATCAGGTGTAAAGCAAAATTTCTCGAAAGGAGCTAAAACCACTGCCCCCTCCTCCCCCAAAAATCCATATACCCAAATCAACTAATTAGACCCTCCACTGAAGTATTAAAGAAAAAAATAAAAATAACTGGGCCTTCCATGCAACCAAAACAGAGCAGTTTTTCAGTGAACCCTGTAGTTCTGGGCCTTTCCATGATAATGACGAAGTGCTCAATGCTGTATGTGGCTGTAAGCAAGGGTACAGATCTCAACTCGCACCAACATGGGGACAGCTAGGAGGAAATGTGCTCAGTGACAATAACACCTTTGCACACACCAGGGTGGGTTTCAAGTACAAGTTTCAGAAGTGAACCTCTGGATTTTTTTTTTGGGGGGGGGGCTGGGTAGGGTGCTAGGAATGGAACCCATGGTCTTGTGCATGCTAGGCAAGTGGTCTACTGCTGCACTACACCCCAAGTCCTAATTCTTTGGATTATGTGAGAACCTTTGGAACCTCAAAGCAAGGGGAGAGTTTGGGGGCTCACTCAAGAAGTCACTTTCCGGGATGGTATATGTGTTGTTCACATATTTCAAAACCAGATTATAAACCCTGCAGCTTAGGGACCTTGAAAGCACTGCTTTTACTCTGAAAAGCTACTTCAGTGTTTACGGAGAGTCAAAAGCCAGTGGTGCTTCCGTATCAACTACATGAAGGCCTCCATTCACACATGGGTCATCATGGGCCTGAAGGCACATTCTCAGTGTACTGTCCTTACTTTAAACATTACTAGCCACCTTTCTGCTAATTCAGGACCGAATTTTTAAAAAAATGTATTATCCTGATTAAGTAAAAATGGATTTTTTGAGTTGCTAGATTGGTTGAAGCTTAGTACAACCAAACCTATCCTTTATCCTCAAAGGGGGAAAAATCTGGAAACCCCAGAGAGAAGAATCTTTCCATCGTCTCCCGGCCTGTAGCTTTTGGAATGTAGGCTTCTGGTTCTTGGATGCCAGGTTCGCTTCTCATCTCTTAGTGACATGTGACCTAACAATTGAAAACCTGGTACCTGCCCCAAGGCCCTTATTTGGATAGTGCCACATTTCAGTGAGTACATGTGACTTGGCTCTTTCATGCAGCTCAACAGAACCGCCACTACTACCTAGCTCAGGACCCTGATTGTGTCACGACGCAGCACCAGCACCCCTCCTCTCAGGTCTCTCAAACTTGCCTTCAGTTCTAACACGAGGTCCATACGCTTCTTCCCCAGAGGGTTGATGTCGTTGAGGATCAGGGCTGTGATGATGTCGATGCCATTGGACTCGTGGGTGGCGATGCAGTTCTGGGCAGAGAGACACACAGACATTCACACAAATGCCGGACATAAATCAGAAGTCAAAGGCCAAGAGGCTCAGCGGCTATTTCAACACAACGTCTGCTGCTCCCAGCAATGTCTCTAGGGGAGGGCTGCAATTTTCCGTGAGAAAGTAGTAAAAATAAAAGATAGATGAAAATCTCTAGTTTCAGAATTAACAGTAAACAGCAGGAAAGTCCCCATGCATGCTAACTGATAAATTGGTCTCATCTGATCCAAATAGTAGTGTGCAGTAAGCTTTTGTTCTTAAAAGGAAAATACAGTGCGTGACTGATACCAGGGTCTGAGCCCTTTTTCCCCTTTAAAAGTGTATTCCATTCCCCTTGACGTCACTCATTTTGTTTTGGTGTCTTTGCTTAAGGCATAAGTTTGGAAAGCAAACTTCTGGTTTAATTCACACAATATCAAAATTAATCATCTTCCCAAAGCACAACCCCCTACAGCCTCTTGCTTTCCAGGCCTCAGTTTGGCAGAAGAGCAAACCCGAGGTTTTAAGGAAATTCCCTGCAATGTCAAAGAGAGCCTTTCCCTGAAGCCTGGGCATTTCTGTGCTCCTTCTCCTAGCTAGGACTGCACCATCGGCTCCATCAGGACACCAGGAGGGGAAAGCAGACGTAGCAAAACACTAGTCTCACATTCCCAGGTAACCGAGGCCAGGTTTTATGCAGGCCACCAGACGTCTGTGAAAAACTACTCTCCTTGGAGTGAAGGTCCTGTCTCTCCAGGTAACCAGCACTGCATGCCTTCCCGGCCACCTGAAGACTTGCTCTGCCCACCACAGCCAGAAAGGAGCTCCAGCGTAAAACTGTGAATCACACTCGGTCCCACACCAAGGCTCAAACTCACCCCCTCTTCCAGATGCCACCTACAAGCCACAACCCTATCAGGAAGAGAAGTTCCGGGCTCCACTCCACAGCACACTTCCAGGGGGCCAGAGACCCACCTGCTTTGCCTCAATATCCACAGCGTTATCATGGCAACTAGAAATGTCCTCATGTTGCTTTCAAGCTGTTTTGTGTGGAGACCTTGTCTCTATCTAAGTTCACATCACCTTCAAATAGCCTCTTTTTAATCTTTCCTGGTATTTACAATAAATCACCATTTTTTCTGGTGCTAATGTAGCACCCCTCTTCCACTTTATCACCGACCCCTAAAAAGTCAAGTTAGAGTTGAATGTCCAACCAAACCAAACCAACCCCAGAGGCCAAGGTCAAGCCCTCCAGAGTCCATCATTAGGTGAATCTTCTGAAGGCTGACAAAGGGGGGAGTGTTCTTTCCACCTCAAGTCCCACTGACTCCCTAGGGCAGCAGACAGATGTGAGGTGACTTCTGAACCAGCCTCTTTTTTTCCCCCTGTATTTTTATCGGTGTGTTTTAACCATATCTAACGGCAAGACTTGTTGTTACCTATCTGTACATGCACAAAACAAAACCATATAATTTGGCCAACATCATTTCCCATTTCCTCTCCTCCACTGATATCCCTTCTGTTTTCATGAGACCTGAACTAGTCTCATCAACACTTCCAAAATGATAAAGCAATTGCAGATGGAATCACCTGGTTTTCATGGCAAGGTCCCTGACAGTATTCAGTCAGACTTTCCAGGGTTTGATTGATAAGCGCGACATTCTTCTCGTTGATGTACAGTCCAAGGAGCCCAAGGCCACCAGTCGTGCTCCCACAAATACAGTCCAGAAACTGCAGCGTCTCACACACCAAATTGTAGTTGGTCTTGTTATTTTGGCAACGAAGGAAGTTCTGCAGGTGGAGGTTGGGGAGAGAAGAGGGTCAAGGTCACTGCCATGCTTACAATCTCTAACAGGTTGTGCCCTGGACTGGTCAGCAATTAGGCAGACAGATGCAGCATGGGACAGAGAGTCTGTATGATTCCCATGATGGTCCACTAACCATGATGGACTTAATGAGTGGCAATGGCCATGAATGGTGTGGCTTGCTCTCCAGGGTTTCTGCTTGGGATATAGTGGAGGAGGGCTTCTCCTTGTAGTCCAGTTCCAACTCTTCCAGTCTTTTCGAGTTCTCATTTCTCCATTTAATTCTTACCCCTCTGTACCCCTCCCTCTACCAACCTCCCACTCAGTGATGTCTGACATTTTAAAGGTGGTTCAAAACTACACTAGGATTTCATCTCCCTCTAGTCAGAATTCCAACCATCAAGAACACAAACAATAATAAGCATTGGTGAGAAAGTGGGGGAAAAGGTACACGTGTACATTGTTGGTGGGACTGCGAATTAGTACAACCACCCTGGAAAGCCATACAGAGACTCCTCAAAAAACCAGGAATGGAACTACCACATGACCCAGCCATCCCACTCCTCTCTCTATATCTAAAAGAAGTAAAATCAACAGACCACGGTGACACAACATGCGCGTGAGGGCTTACAGGAGCACGATTCCCACCAGCCAAGCTAGAACCAGCCCAGATGCCCATCAACAGATGCATGGGTCAAGACAATGTGGTGTATGTACACAATACACAATGGAGTTTTAGTCAGCCATAGAGAAGAATGAAATTATGGCATTTAGAAAATAAAAAGAAAAAAGGGATGGAAATGTAGAACATCATGTTAAGTGAAATAAGCCAGATTCAGAATGTCAAGGGCTGAATGTTTTCTATCATATGTGGAAGCCAGAGAGAAATAAGGGAAAAAAGTGTGCGTGCATGTGTGTGTGTGTGTGTGTGTGTGTGTGTGTGTGTGTGTGTGTGTGTAAAGATATCATTAAGACAGGAAAGATAAGAGGAGCAGAAGAAGGAAATTGGGGGGGAAGGGAAGAAAGGTGGGAAAAGCAGAATGAAGGTAGGAAAATTATGCTCTGTGTGTGTGTGTATAAGTCTACCACAGTGAATTCCACCTTTGTGCATCTGTATCACTACCAAGAGCCAATCAAATAAATTTAGATAAAGGAGTGAAAGGAAGACCAAGAGGGAGAAGAAGGAGAATATCAAGGGAGGGAGGAGAGAGAAGGAAAGGTGGGGGACTTGGGAATGAAATGGAGTATATCAAATACCCTGCACGTATTATTTTTTTTTTTTTCAAAATGAACCCAATTCTTATATATATATCTGTAGTGCACTAAAAAAAGAAAAAAAGAGATGATGGTGCAGCCTGGGTGCTGAACACGCATAGCCTAGCAGTGGGGACAGTTCCCCATGGAATTAGATGTTACAGGTTGGTTTATGGGCCATGGAGGGAGCCTAGATTATCCTGCTTGGCCATTCCCATTCTTAAAGCACGGGGAAATAATAAGGTGATATTTTTCATCTCACGGTTATAAAAGTGACACCTTATTTACTGCAGAAAATGAAAAACAGAAAAAGATAAAATCACAAGATGATATGAACATAACCTCTGACTTGGTAATTCCACGTTTGTGAAATACTCATTTTTACTAACAAAGTATGTGCATGGGGTGCTCACCACAGCACTGTTGATAGTGGTGAACAACTATAAGTAACCTCAAGGGGTGTGGTGGCACATGCCTCTACTCCCCACAGCTTGGGAGGCTGAGGCAGGAGGATCACGAATTCAAAGCCAGCCTCAGCGACTTAGCGAGACCCTGTCTCAAAATGAAAAATCATAATTTTCAAAAGACACTGGGGATGTGGCCCCCGAGTTCAATTCCTGCTATAAAAAACAAAACAAAAACAAAAACCTCAATGCCTACCAATTGAGGTGTAGTTAAAAATAAAAGTCAGGGGCTGGGGTTGTGGCTCAGTGGTAGAGTGCTTACTTGGCTTGTGTGAAGCCCTGGGTTCAATTCTCAGCATCTCATACAAATAAATAAATTAAATAGAGGTCCATCAATGACTTAAAATAAATAAATAAGTAAATAAATAAAAGACACTACCCATATCATTCATGGTTGTAAACTAGAAAGACCAAGCCCATCAATGTGTGTCATAAGGAAAGATCTAGGGCACAGTGTTAGGTTAAAAAGAAATTGGCAAATAGGTTAATTGGTGACACAAACACATTTGTATTAAATGTTTCCTTTTAAATATAAAGAAAAAAGTCTGAGATGATGCTTCTTGGATAGAAGAAAGAGAAGTCTGAACTAAAACTATTTTTTTATTCCTTTATGCACTTTTTATTTTTTTATGGTTGTAATGCATTCCACTATTGTCATGTATGTAAGAAATTAAAAAAAAAAACACGTGTATTTTTGTTTGAACCTTTATAAAGAGGATATATTCACGTATTCCTGAAGTCAAGGATTGTTTTTCTCAGGACTACAGGCAGCCAGAGGAGGGTTTCAGACCCATATTACCCACTCCTCTGGGAGGGTGCTGTTGCCTAAGGGCCTGGAGGAGCCCCTGGCCAGGTCTGGTGGAGGAGCACTGGGTGGAGAGGGCCTCCTTCTCAGTATCTCCTTCATATTCCAGTCACTGTTCCCACCACACCCTGCTCTGCTCATTGGGGCCACCTGAATGACCACACCCTCTCTGCTTGGTGACAGCTGGGTTCCCACCACACCCCTCTCTGCATTGAGCTTGCTGCTCATCAAGCACTCTGTTCTTTTGCTTCTGGGGCTCCAACTGCGCCATCCCCCTGCCTCCACCCCCTCTAGGATGTGGCCAGCCCCCAGACGCTGCAGCCCCACCTCTGTGACACAGCTCTAGATGGCTTTCCCCAGAACCATATTGACAGCACCGAGTCCCCAGGCAGCTGGCACGGGGGCTGGTGCCTCCTGGGCACTTTACAAATGCTGGCTGAATCTCTGCATTCCACGGGACAGAGGAAGGAAAGGGCCCTGGGGAAGCCGCCTGCTAATACTGCACCCACGTTTCCAGCTCCCCATGGAGGCCAGCTAGCTGCCCTTTCTCCAAAGCCTGTCCCATTTCCCAGGGTTTCTGAGGCGACTTGCTGGAACCTCCCATTCCCTAATTCAGACCCCTGTCCTCTTGTCCTCTACAAACACAGAGGGATGCTGTCAGCGTACCCAGGGGCTGCTCCCACGTGCTGCCAGCACCAGCCACCTGCTGTGCTGGAGAAGTCTTCCCATCAGCCAGGCCAGGCAGAGAGAGAGTAAGTAGGGAAGGACAGGGAAAGAAGCGAAGGCCCCAAGCCCAGGCTTAAGTCTACCCAGAGATCTGGACCTGTTTTCCTTAGAGCAGCAACTGCCACTTGGCACAAACTCCGTGGTGGCCTCTCTACTGCACATTTACCAACAGCAAAGTTTAGGTTGTACACAGGACAAGAGGCTCTGGGCAGGAGCCCGGGGGCTGCCGCTTCAGGAGGCCCGTTCCTTCTCTCTAGTCAATATGCTCTTCTCAAACCAGGGAGCCAGAAACCCCTCCAGAGACAACTCCACTTCCCTGGGACCCACTGCCCGGACGGAACGCTAGAAACAGGTGTCAGTCACAAGAGTGGATCCCCACGGAAAACCGTCACAGGGGAACTGCACTCCTGAAAATCTGATTTCACTGGGGCAAGTTCACCACCTGAAGGATTTCGTGGAAGGTGTTTTTGTTTGTTTGGTGGCCCTGGGAAATGAACCCGGGCACTCTCCCACTGAGCCACATCCTTGGTCCTTGTCATCCTCCTGCCTCAGTCTCTCCAGTAGCTGGGTGTGTGCCACCACACTCAGCCTGACTTTGTGGGAGTTTTGACCTACATCCTTGTGACCCATGGGTCCCGTTCACTGGCTTTCTCACTGGGCCTGTAGAACCTTGGGAGAGGTCCCTGGAATACCCCCACCTTCCAGGGCTCTTACAGACGGAGGGGGGCCTCTAACACTCTCTGGTTTCCACTCTGAACAGAGCAGCTTTACTCTCATCTGCTCAGTGCATTTCTGCATAAATGTTCTTCAAACAAAGGATTCTATGGCTTAAAAAAAAAAAGGAATTTGAAAGCACCAAATTGGATCATCTTTATATACCTTGAAATTAAATTACCAGGTCTTTTTTCCCCAAATATATGAAAATATCTTTTAACCCCTCCCCACAGCACCGTATCTCACAGAGCTGCAGACAGGAGAATCAAGTTGGAAAGACTTCATTAGGAGGAGCTTCTGCCTGTGGGCTTCCCGGGGCGCTATTCTGAAGGACAGTTGTGGGAAGAGCTAGAGTATGAAACTACAATTCTGAAGACTTCCAAATAAGAAATAATGAATTTTAGGCCTCACTCTACTCCCCCTGTGGAGGAGGGCGCGTGTGCTGGCGAGGGAGAGCTTGGGAGGTGAAGAGCAGGGCAGGGGCACCACCCAGGACCATAACCGGGAGGCTCACGGCTCTGCCCTGGGTGGCAGGAGGGTCCACCTGGGCAGCCCTGGGCGTGGTGAGCGCAGAACTCCCATATCATCACCCCCGAGAAGCCCTCCGGGGCCGCACACACGGGGCGGCCCCCTTCCTCTGACCTGGTGAATGCCCTATGATGAACTCGTGCAACACCCAGCACTGGCTGCCATCTCTGGTGGGCCCACGGGCTCCCGACCAGACACTCAGGACTGTGACGAGGTCCCGTCACCAGGTGCCCCATAACTGTTCACTGGCACAATCATCCCATCCCTGCTTCCCTACTGGTGCCCACTGGTGATGTCACACAGAGGAGCAGCACAGGGAACTGTCACTATGCTTAGTCTAGAAATGGCCCCAGAAGCAGGGTGGGCCCTTTACCCACAAAGATGCCACACCCAGCCACCCTGGCTCCCCAGGGCACTAACTCCACCTTCACAGGCCTCCTTCAGAATTAACGGGGTCCCTTGTAAGACAGAGGGGCAGATGACATCTGGGCACAGTCACCTTTCAGACAGTGGGACCAGCTAACAAGGCAACAGTCACACCGGGGTGTCCGGGCAGGAGCGTCTTGCTCCACTTGACTGAGCCACGCAGGTCCAACCAGGGGTCTGGAACTAAAGTGCTCTCGGCCACAGGAAGGGAGCTTGCAGAGGGGCTAGAAAACTGACAGGCAGGATCCCACACGCAGGGGTTGACAGAGTGCACAAAGGTCAATGGCTGATATCAACCAGCAGCAGGAGAAAGACCCTGGCCCCATCTGGAGGGACTGACTCTGCCTCAGCCACTCATACCCCCTGGCCCTGCGGGTTCAGCGTGGCCACCTGCAGAGTCTGTGGGCAATCTCTTCCTTTTAAGTCGTGGGTCAGACTTGGCCAGACAATGACCTCAGATCTGAGATGCTTTTTCCAAATTCTGGCTCTTCACTCCTCTGCCTTCCTCCATAACAAGTCCTTCCTATCTGGCTGATCCCCACAGAGACTGGGTGGCAGCAACTCACAGTGGCAACACCAAATGGTCTGCCACAGTCAATGTGTGACAGGCCATTGTGTCACCTGTGGGAAAGCCAGCAATGGCAGTACTTATAGGTGACACCTTGCCCTTGCCAGATGTGACTAGTGTCATTTCAGCCTCTTACTGTTTTTTTCCCCTTTTTTATTCTAAGCTCAGAAACTCCCAGTGCTGACTGTGATCCTGGGAGGAAGCATTCCACGTGGGAGGAGCTGTCCAACATCTTTTCCTTATTCATCCTCCCTCTATTCGGGCAAACGCAGGTGGTGTCCTTGGGCTCAAGAGTTGGCAGCCAACCCAGGCAGTGGCCATGGGCCCAGGGCTCCAGAATGCTCTCCTGGGTGGGACTGGGCCTCCACATACCTGGGCCCATTTGGAAGAAAGAGGCCAGTCTCTGGCACCCAGCTGGGGCACTTTGGCTGGGAAACTCTGCAAGGGAGTTAGCGAGCCTCTGATGCAGCGTGTGGTCAGCAGCTCCGGCCTTGGGACACCTGGGTCCAAGGCCCTGTCCTGCCCTCCTTCCCGCATCCCCTGCCTGCACTTCAATTTTCTCATCTCTGAAGTACGACAACTACGTATGTAGTTACCCAAAGCCACACCATGGCACCCAGGGCACTCAGAAGACCCAATAAACCTTGGCTATGGTTATCATCCCCAAACAAGAAGTGAACAAAGAATTTCCAAGAGTGTGAGTAATGATTCCTGACTATCTGTGGAAACTCTGGAAGGCAACTACTCCATTCAACTGGTAGCCATGCTTTGCTTGAGGATGGGGATAACTGCTGAGAAATAAGATGTTAGGCAACCTCTTGGTACCAGCGTCACAGAATGTACTCACGTAATGGCACAGTCTACTACCCTCCTGGGGCAGATGGCACCTACCATCGCAGGTGTGGTCTGCCACTGACCGAGGTAATGTTGTGCAGTGTGCGACTGAGTTCATGAGAACTTTCTATGCACCTGATTTTGTAAGGCTAACATCTTTGATTTTTACTTGAGACTCTAGATGCTGCACAGTGACAGGCTACAAGATCCCCTCACTCACAGGCACCTCCCCTGGATGGGGACCGAGGCCTGGAGACTCCAAAGTCAGCCACCCATGCTGCAGCTCAAGCCAGCTGTCCGCAGGAGAGGTGCTGAAGTGTGGGAGGAAGGTGGCTGATGTCCCTCACCTGCCCGGGCCCTCACCTGCAGGTCTCGGTTGTGGTTTTCACAGAGCAGCTGCAGGAAGCGCAGGATGGGCTGCATGATGGTAATGACCGCGCTCATCTCCAGCTCGTCCTTGGTCTTGTCGGTGGTGGTCTGGGTGCCCTCCCCGGACTGGTAGTGGTCGTCGGGGTCAGCCTCCCTCCGGAAGGTGGTGAAGGCTTTCCTGGTGGCAGCAGAGGCCTCCAGGAGCTGATCCCGGACCTCTTCTGTTATCTGTGTCGTAGGCTCTTTGGCTGGAAGGCAAGCGTGAGATGATCAGTATTGGACATCCTCAGGAGCGCCATTCTCCTTTCCAAAGGGACCTCAGAAACCTGGGTCTCCACTGGAGACCCGTGAGGCTGGCACAACATCCTGGGAAGCCACAGTCTCCTCAGTCCTTAGGCAGGATAAGGGTGGAGTGGACCCTGGCCAGCTGCTCCTGGTCCCCGTGTCCCGTCTAGGCTAGGCCCATGTCTAGAGAAGAGCTTGGTACAGCTCTGTGGACCCCACGACCAAGGCTCTGGGTCTCGGGTCCTCCTTTGCACCCTGGTGAGCACCAGTGAACTCTATCTCAGGCAGCTGGGAGAGGCTCACCATGACGCCAAGCGGTCACCTAACACTGGTGGTCCTTTGTGTGGCTTGTCCGACCCAGTCCTCAGGATACCTGAGCTAAGTGTGGCATCGTCGTTAGGAGCACAGACTGCAGTCAGATCGCCTAGGCTCAGATGCCAGCTCCACACCTTCCAGCTGCATGTCCCTAACAAGTCAAGGACCATGTCTGAGCCTCTGCTTCCTCATTGGTAAAATGGAGACAGCGTTCTACTTAGTTTGCAAGGTTGGCTTGAGCTTTAGATGAACTGAACAGGAAGAGGGGCTCTGCTATGCTTTGGGTCTGCAAAGTTCCCCAGTGGGTTAAAGGCTGGATCCCCATCCCAATGTGCCATTGGAAGGTGATGGAATCTGTAAGAAGCATGGCCTCTTGGGACATCTTAGATTCACTGGGGGGATGTCCTAGAGGGGGACTGGAGGGCCTTGGTCTTTTCTGTTTTTCTGCTTCTTGGCCATAAGGTAGGTGCTTCTGCTCTGTCACATGCTCCTGTCTGACATGCTGCCTTAGGACTGGACCAAAAACAAAGAGGCCAACTGGTTATGGATCAAAACTTCCAAGTTAACCTTTTATCTTTATAACCTGATTATCTAAGGTATTTGTTATAGTGACAGAAAGCTGGCTAATATATGACTAATTCATTTCAGTCCTTAGGCATCCTTCATGTTTCTTCCATTTATCCCCATTCTAGACTAGTTGTTCTCAATCAAGGGAGATGTCTTCCCCAGTCCCACTCAGGGAATAATGACATTGTATCTGGAGACACATTTGGCTGAGGGTGGGGATGTGCTACTGGTATCTAATTGAGCAAAGGTCACATATGCTAATAAATATCTTATATAGCTGGGCATGGAGGCACATGCCCATAATCCCAGCAACTGGGGAGGCTAAGGAAGGAGGACCACAAGTTTAAGGCCAGCCTCAACAATTTAGCAAGACCCTGTCTGAAAATAAAAAAATAAAAAAGGGCTGGGGATGTAGCTCAGTGGTAAAGCATTCTTGGGTTGAAGCCCCAATACACTGAGAAAAGAATTTTAAATAAATAAATAAATAAATAAATAAATAAATAAATAAATAAATAAATAAATAAATACCTTATAATGCACAGGACAGTCCCTAAAACAAAGAAGCTTCCAAAGGTCAACAGTGCTGTGGTTGAGAAATCTAGCTCTAAACTTGAAAAGCAAGATTCACAATGGTTAATTTATTCAAGATTGTCTGATTCCCAAAACTGTGGGTCTTCCACTCCCTGTAGCACTACTGGGAGATGACAGACAAAAAGCTCTGTCCTTTACAAAATAAGGAGAGATCACCTGACCAAGGACAGACACTGGTAGCTTTGTTTACTTGTTTGTTTGTGTGGCACTGGGGATTGAACTCTGAGCCACATTCCCAGCACCCCCTCCCCACCCACATCTTTTTAAAATTTTGGGACAGGGCCTTGCTAAATTGCTAAGAGTCTCACTAAGTTGCTGAGGCTAGCCTCAAATTTGTGATCCTCCTGCTTCAGCCTCTGGAGTCACTGGAATTTCAGGTGTGCACCATTGTGCCCAGCTCCCTAAGACACCAGTTTTAGAGTATGCATTACTCTAAGACTACATGGAAATGACAGGAAAAGAATATCCACAGATTCTCTACCGATAAAACCCTCAGCTTGACCAAAAAGAATGTCCACATATTTATTAAACAAGAAGACTCTCCTACGCAACAGGACTTCAGCTCATGTCACCTAGGGAGAATTACTTCAAAACCAGAGCAGTTGTTTTCTTCAGAGAATTCAGGTCGTGATGCATCCTAGAGTCTAAAAAATGATGAAAAAAACTTAAAGGAAACCAAGCCTCCTCTCCCTTTCCCAGGCCAGCAGATGGAAGATGGGGAGCATTACCTTTTTTTCGGGACGGGGCCTCCCTGTCCGCCTCATCATCTTTCTTTTTGTTTCCCAAGTCACTGGTGTTCACAGTCACAGTTGCCTTGATTTCCTGCTGGGCCATTTTCATTCGGTCATAAAAGACCTTAAAGAATCTCTCAGACTTCTTATCTTCTGTCAACCGGCAGAAAAAGGAGTGCTGGAGGGGCAAACACACAGAGTTTCAACACTAACAGGCCCCCCCGTAAGCCCCACTGGCCACCACACTGACTGGAGACCAGAGCCAGCCCCAAGCCTTGCAGAGGACCCAGGGTCGGCCCCAGGTGAAACATGGTGGCCCGACTCTCGCTCCCTGGGTCGAGCATCAGAGATCGTCAACACAGACTTCTAAACCTGTGGTGGTGGAGGAGGCACATGGGCTTTGGAAGCCTGCCTGGGGGTGGTGGGCAGACTGCAGCCTACTGAGAGCCGCTCCTCTACTGCAAGCACACAAAACAAGGCTGTTAACAATGAAAACGGAAAATGGTTTTGGAGACAAATGCAGGGCCATCATTTGCTCGAGGAGTCCCCTGGGCTCCTCCCCAGCACAGAGCCCCGTGAACAATGCACAGATGACTCAGATGGGCCACCTGCCCCACAGGCCTCCGTAACAGGTAAGGATGACACATTCTTAAGTCAGACTTAGTCAAAAGCACCCAGGGAAGGCCTGTGAGCGTAGATGCTTAGAGCTGGAGGGGCTGACGCTGGGCCGCAGCCATCTCAAAACCTTCATGGAAACGGTGGATTTTCCAGTAAGTGTCGAAGGGCAGGGAAGAGTGGTTAGAGGAAGAAGCTCCAAATGCACAGGTAGCCCGCCTCTTGGAGACACATTTGCTTTTGGACCCACTGCAAGCAATAGTATACACTGTTGATATGAAAACACAATATGGTATTTCAACTTCATTTATGAGTATTCTCTTTTCACCCCCTTGCAAGTTCCACACTGTTGTGAGTTATTTACATACAAATACAACACGGTCATTTCCAGCGGAATAAAACAAAGCTCCAAACAATGTATTTGCTTCTCCAGGTCGATCTTCCTGCCAATTTTGCATCTTCCCATTTGGAAAGATGGCGCTCCCCTGCATGGTGGTCTTTAGCTTCCAATCCTAGAAAAAACTCAAGCCTTACCAGCCCCTCGATCCCCCCAGGCTCCCCCACTGTAGCCTGTATCCACCTGCCAAGGGCTGATTCAGTCACCACCTGACTACTACACCTTCGTCTGCCACCACACAACCGCAGCCACTCTGGCCCTCTGACCCTCAGGCCACATTGACTGACATCTGTCCCATGAGCACTTCTCCATCAGGTCCCTGCTTCTCCCCTCCCCGGTCTTGACTTTGATGCTTCTTATACAGGACCAACTTCCTACCTGTGTTCTTTGGTCCTCCTGCCTGCCAATCACTCCCGAGTGCTCCCCCAGGCTCCATGTCTGCAGCTGCTTAGCCTTGAACCAAGCAGAAGTCTTGAGTGTGTGTCCTCCACTGTCCTTTACTGCCTTATTTCCTGCTAAGTTTCCTACTGTTCCTTCCACCCACCATCATGGGGTAGGCATCATGATTGGGGCATGGTGTCAGACACACGAGAGAAAACAGTGAGTGCAAAAAGAAAACCATAAAGCCAGAAGCCTGGTGAGAAACAGACACAGTACTGCCAGTCACCCTAAGGACCACTGACCACCCTATAACACAGCCTTCTGTCCCCATGAAAGTGACCCAAGAATGTGCTAGTGAACGGTCCTGTGGCAGACACGTGATGCCACTGCCCTAGTGTCTTGCTCTCCCTGGGTCCTCATCTTCTGGTCTCACCACAAACATCACTTTCTCAGTGAAGCCACCATGAATGTCACTTTCTCAGTGAAGCCATCTCTAATGCTCCCAGGCCAACTGCTGTGTTCTATTCTCTTCACTGCGGAACACTGTTGAGTCGCACCGCTGCTATATTTATCGTTCACCTGCTCACATCTGTCTCACACAGAGCAGAAGCTCTGGGAAGGCAGGTGCTTCACCTGTGATTGACAGCTGCCTCCAGAGCACCCTGAAGGGGCCTGGCACACGCAGCACTCCTTAAATGTCTCATGAAATAGTGACTCTAATAACTCAGAACGTGGTGGCTCCTCCTAAGTGGATCCCCCTGCTCAGATCTGTATACGGAGTGGACACGACACAAATAAGTGCCACCAAATAAATTAATTCTGGGAAATTGCTCAAATACCCGGAACCAAGTTTCAACCCTTCATCTCTTTTAGAGCCAACACACCCACAGATACAAGATGATGTACATGAGGGCAGAGAAAGCAACCTCCAGCTGCCTAATCTCAGGGACCCAACTTCTGCACCAAGACCCATCTTCCCACACCCAGGGTCACAGGAGGCTGCTCACTAGTGCGGTGGGCCACCAGAGGGCTGCCCCTTTAGGACACACCAGTCACCTCTCCAGCATGGAGGCTGCTTGACAAGCGGGTGGGGACGAGCTGGTCATTCAAGAAAACAAAAGCACTTTCAGTAAGAAACTAAATACGACAAATGAAGCCAGCCACCTGTCATCTACAACCGCTCAACCCGGCTGCAAACCACGCTGCTTAGCATCCAGCCAGCCCAGCCAGCCCACGTCAGCTGACACCTTCAGGGTAAGGGAAGTGCCTCTGAAATGGGAGAAGGGCAGGGGACGGAGGATTTTGTGCTTCTATATATGTTTCTGCAATGGACAGTATGTTTATTCTGTATTATTTATACCAGTCCTCAGTAATCCCTTAAGGACTGGAAACAGCTTTACCAACAGAAGGTGCTCAACAAAACAATCCAATGGATAACAAGCTCTAGAAGACACGAAGAAGATTAGAAAAGCAAAATTAGAAAAGGATGGGGATGGGCAGAGAGTCGATTCAGGGGAGTCTCAGGTTTGGCTCGAATCCCTGGCCACGGTCAGGCGGAAGCGAGAGGCCTCAGTTATGCCACTGGAGAAATTCAATCAGCACTTCAAGGGGAGGTCAGCAGGAGAGAGCAGGAGAACAGGGCCCTCCACATGGTTCCTGGACCTGTTCAAACCTGTTCTGTAGTAGTCTGTTTGCAGGACTTAGGACAGGGAGAGGGAGTGCTGTGCTCAGGACACGCATGCTAGGTGGGACCTAAGACCAGAGCAGGTGGGTACGTGGAATCCCAGCTTTGGTCTGCCTGGCCAAATGCCCACTTTTCTTCCTATTGAACCTATTTCAACTCATCTCCCCTTCCCCAAACCAAGAGCTTATAGTCACAAGGAGGTTTTACCTCTCCAAATCTTTCCCTCCATCCCACCAGGCAGGGGTGGGGCAGCCCTTCAGCATAAATACGGCCTGGAGCAGGCAAGGTGGGGAGATAGAAAGAAATCAAAACTGTGGTTGCCTCAAGGGGCATGCATGGGAAGGGACTACAAAGGCAGCAATGGAAAGTTCCAGAACAAATCATCTGGATGAGAGTGAAGGTTACACAGATAACCACCAGAATAATGTCCCCTCTAAGGCATCCACATGCTCATCCCTGGAATCTGCAAATGAGTCACCTCACAGGGCACAGTGGCTTGGCCCAGCAGAGGGCACAAAGGCTGCTCACCAACCTCACCACGAGGAGCAGATCCTGGATCACTCAGGGGGCCCAACGTCATCACCAGGGTCCTTCAGAGTGGAAGAGGGACAGACACATCATGAGAAGGACCCAACTCTCTGCTGTTGAATTGGAAACAGGGGGAAGAGGCCATAAGCCAAGGACTGTGGGTGGCCTCCAGAGCTGCAGGCACCTCCAAAAATGAGGACAGCCCTGCAGCACTCTGGTTTCAGTCTAGTGAGTCCAATTTGCAAAACAAAAAATTCAGGAACTCAAAGCCACTACATTTGTGGTCATCTATTGCTGCAGCCATAGCCAATGACACAACAGGCATAAAACAGCTGTCAACTGTAACTGAGCTCTACCCTGAGCTGGCTATTACTCGTAATCCATATCACAATAAAGAGAGAGGGAAGAGATACTTTGCTTCTGGAAAGCTAGGGAACTACAAAAAGATGTGCAGACAAGGAGCCGCCTTCAGAGACTCCCTGACCCCCAGGGGAACAGCACGCACAGCCCCACGGCTGACCTGTCCTCGCCCTGCCGTTTATCTCCAAATCACATTTTATTCCAAAGCCCTTCTAATAGGTGCTGTCTCATCCGAGCCCGAGGAGATTGCCAGGCCAGATAGCATCATTCATAAACCCGTCAGAGTGCAGAGCAGAGCGCCGGGGTCAGGAGAGGCCGGTGGCTTGTGGCGTGGCCCGACATACTCTCCACCTCCTGTCTGCATTCTCAACCCACATGAGCCGCCTGGCCCCCACCAGACAGGAGCAGAAGGTTGGAAAAGCAGAGGAAGTGGAGCTGGTGGGGGGCAGATGCTCAGCGCCAAGGCCAGACACCATGGACAGCAGGCCTGCCCGGGACATGCTCAGGGGAAGGAAGTGGGGTCAGGGGCAGGGCGAGGAAGTGACCAGTGGCCCAGGGCATCTCCACAGCAGCTGTGGGAGAGGAAGCAGGCATGGCTGCGGTCAGCAGAGCTTCAAAATAAAACAAAAGAGCAGGCTTTTGCACATCACGGAATGTGGAAGCCGGAAGCCCTCTGCTCCAGCAGTTTCCAAATGGTTTTCCCAGTAGGGAAACTCCTCGCTCCCCTTTCCAGATACATCCTCTATGAAGACGCCAGCTGGGCAGGAGAGAGACAAGGCAGAGTGACTCCCCTGAAACAGAGAGAGGACCCTCCGTCACGCCATGGGAACTAACTCTGGACTCTGCTCTGCAAACCACCACTGGAGACTATCCTTCCACTTTTCAAGATGAGGAAACTGAGACCCAGGCAGGAAAAGGGCCTTGCTGAGGCTGCAGAGAGATCAACTCCTCAACTTCCCAAGCCACCCCCTCGACCTGCCTGGATGGGGGTAGTTCAAACAGCCTGCGCTGACCTTCCTGCCCTCTGGTAACACCAGAGGGCACTCAGGTGTCCCTCCTTGGGCTGACTGAGCTGGATAGGGACCAAGGAACAGAGGTCTTAGATTAAAAGGATAATCAACTAGCTCTTCATATCAAGTCTTGAAATAATAAGATATTGGTTAATTAGCCTAGCAGACACCCACTACCAATGCCCAAGTCCTTTGCAAAGAAA